TTCTAGGAGAGCGGGTCCCGTGAATATTCGTCAAGCAACTACTCTGTAATTGAAGCAACTAATTGAAATGCAGGAGGCGGCTTAGCTACTGCAGACTCGATAGGAAACCTGTGCCTCAGGCCTAGACACCAGGTCCATCATGCTTCGCCATGACACCAGGCCGCCCGAAGCCCACATTGGCTCTCGGGCCTTCACGTGGCGGGTCCCCATGCTAGGATTGTGATCCCTCACAGAATGATGATGAGTCGGGCAATAGGAGCGACCATTCGGATTCCATACAGGGTGATCAATATTCTCCCACCCTTTCTGACTGGGACAAGATCATGTTTGTTTATATCCACTGGGGTACCAGCCATGACAATCAGCTTGGCTTCATTGGTTCTCATTGTACCTCGGAGACTTCGCCCGGATTATCTGAGATATTCTCTGCTGATACCTGAGACAGATGCTTGGGGAGTAGTATTCCTGATAAAAGTTTTCCAGAAACGATGCCACTGAGACTGGGAGAAAGAGTTTCTGCCTAATCTACGTCGTTGGCAACGCCTCTGTATGCGGCATACAAATCGATGGGACGGGTCTTGAGACAAAGATGATAGCAAAAATACGAACACTAGCACAAAAAACACCGTCGCTAATGACATAACCCGACCTCTCATGCCACGAGGGAAAGCTAGGAGTCGACAACGTGGTCGAATTGTGGGGAAGGAAGAAGGAACCACTGGGTTAGCAGCCCTGGACTGGCCCCCTGCCCACCGGCGGCTCGTGCTACCATGATGGCTCGAGACAGGAAACAGGGTCAATTACGGCCGCGCCATAATAGGTGCTGCATTAGGAAGTGAAGGGATAACTTGACAGTACCACAGGGTATCCACTCATAGATGCTCTATACGAACAGACCAATGGTGTTGCAGAATAGAGCCTCCCGTCTCTGTTATACTATTGATGTGCATGCGTACTACTTTATGATTATACTGACAACATACCCATTCTAGTAGACTACGAGATTCTTGATCAGTACTAGGCGATCGAGAGCTGTCATGTGCCAGTTGCCTCCCCCACCATCTCCTCCAAGTCGACATATGAACTTGCCTAAGATGGAATATGATAATCATACTAACCGTCAGTCTAGGGATTAATTGGCCAACAGGTCATTCACGGAGCCCGCTACTAGATGCAACCCTGGATCAGAATAGTAAGCATCGAGTGCCTAGGGCGTGTCTTAGTGGTAAAGTACAATTTCTAGCGCAACGCCGGGCGCTGCGGTCATCTCGCGAGGGATGCCGTGTGAAGCATGTGCGATGCTAGACAACACTAGCCATGCAGAGTGACGATGGCTTCTGCAGTCATCATTGCGTCGGAAAAAAACTGCCCTTGTTGCTGATGATTCTGAAACGCTTCCATGACAACCCATAGGTTCACAGCTTGTTGCTCATCCATTTCTCTTGCCCGAAAGAGTTACTATACTGATCAGGTAAAGTTCGTCGGACTCTCGGCAAAAAGTGGAATCCGTCGGTGGGTTATGGCTGCCGGAGCCAGAATCTGCCCCGGTCCGGCTCGAGGACAGCAGGATCTGGATCTTCCCTGGAATGGGTGGGAGGGGGAACACTGCACTCCGGTCTCCGGAGGCTAATCATCGTCCGGACCCCCTCCAGACTCCCGGAGGATGTATCTATCTACCATCGAGAGGCCATGGAAGGAGAAGACCATCTGGAGGATTTACAGTTTGGAGCTACAGAAGCGGGAACGTGATCCCGCAGTCTAAAAAGTTCCTCTCGCAAAGCCTTAGAATTCAGGAATCTCATGAGAAGATCAACTTTGTACACAAGAGTATCGATGACATCGAGGTATGATCTGATGATCCGCACCCCGAAGGTTTGATGAACAACTCTGTACCACGCGAGATGGTAATCACTTTCATCTATTCGAAACCCCGTACCCTCGCATAAGGGGGGAAGAGAAAGGGTGGCATGACAAACATGATCAGCTTACCTCATCTCGACTCGCAAACCTAAGAGAGGAGGGGAGGCCTGCGGTTTGCCTGGCACTTGAAACATGCATTGTGATTGCTGTGGATGTCACGAAGATCACCGATACACATTCCACTTTGGGGTTTAGGTTTTTCCTGCGCCATCATCAAAAATAACAGAGGTGATAGATCAGGTGTCGAACCCGAACCCGAAACCAAATCAGCCTTGCCTGAGGCTGTCAAGTCACCTGCCTTAGGTAATCCCATCATCCACTTTGGACCCGCTCCAAGAAACTGGGAAATTGGGTCTTCACTCTTCACAACCTCCAGTATCCCCGTCGGACGATCTGAGCCCGAGCGCAGTTCCGGTCCATGGCGAGCAGTCTTAATTTGTTCAAGTCTGCCCGGGGCATAAGTCTGCATATTGTCTTGCAGATAATCCCCCTGTTGGTTACTAAAAGGGGCAATCGATGACGGCTGCAGGCTTCCCACGCAGTCCTGTGTATACTGTCGGATGGCTGAATATGAACCACGTCTTTACCCTCCAGTAAACACGGTGATATGTACAAACTCATCGACCAGATTACACATCTACAACAACAAACAACAATACCATAACTCCGCCACCTCCCTGATTCGTCGAAGTGGGGGGGCGGGGGCACTTTGGGTATGTCTTGTGGGCACTGGATAGCACTCTTCTCCAGTCTCGTACGGAATGCTCCCGCTGCTCCAACGCGTTATCATCAGATAAGACCGGCGCACTCACTAACATTTGGAGCGCTGCAACTAACCTCTTAGGAGGCTAGCAACAGCAACTTGGAGCACGCCGTGCACTACGCTAATCAAATCGCTTGAGCCCGTTCTCTGGGGCTAAGCTTGAGGGACCAAGGGACGGCTCCCTAGCCAGCCAAGACACTACGCACGTTGTAGCTACTATAATTCCCTTGACTAATTAGCATTAGATGAGTAGACGGCTACGCCGTGACGGAGTCCCCGCCATATTTCCGTCCTAAACAGAGATTTCAAGAGGCTGTCTATTACCCACTGCCAAGCAGTCTTTTCGAGTTCGTCTATCTAGGTGGGCTTGGTTGTCCACCCCATAGACCTACCTTACCCTCCGCTAGACTTTCATACACGAACAGACGAATCAGCCTCATGAGTTCCACCTCCAGGGTGCCGAGGACCGGAAAATCCGACAGGGCACGTATGCCGAAGATGTCCGCGATCGACACCACACACGCAGTATGTGTTGACCAGAAGGACTCAGGCCAGTTGGGCTTGTCAAAGGGCGGAACGGCCCTTCCGGTGTCTGTTCCACACAAGCAGCCACAGTTGCACGAGCATCAACATCAAGTCTTAATCTATTCTCTATTGAAGATACTATGGTGATTACATTAGTGCTTCTGATCCTTCCCATGAGTAGCCAACTTATTGTTTGTGTTCTTCTCCATATGTTCCATTATTTCTAAAGCTCTTCGCTGACTCCTATAATAGGCTCGAGCTAAGACCAAAACCGGAAAATAACGTCTCTCTGTCATAGTAGCCCCTGTCAGCATGGCCCCCTGCTAGCCAGGGCCCTAGTAGCGAATGATGACCGACGCTGAGCTCGACACGGTGTAACCTAGTCACCTGGAGACCAGGAAAGTGTGATCGGCCGTACAACCCTTCTAGCGGTTATTGGTGAAGAAGCAGCTTCCGTGCTGCGTCGAACATTCCACACGTCAGCCTACGCTTTACGTTGGATACTACTTTGGGAGAGGTACATCCTCATGCAGCTTCTAGTTCGCAACCTACTGCAACCTAGTCTGTACTATTGTTACAGGTAACAGAGCCACGAGGCCTGTTACTTTGCGCCATGACAGGGGTGCCATGCGCTCTGGAATGGGTGATATCCACATGGTCTGATCTCACTCCTGCCACATCCGGCTAACTGCGAATCGCTATAGTCTCCTAAAGTGTCAATGGGTTTGCGAGCCGATAGTTGCTGGACTAGCATGTCCTCGAGCAGTTGGAAATGACCCTTGCGTGTCAGCATGAACCGGTCTGGTCAGGGTCCAGATATGCCTATTCTCCCTCGGAACTATCAAGGACATTTATGACAACCAGCTTGTGAAGAATCACCTTACCAGACCAAGCTAGCAATATCGTCCCTCCCACGCAGCTCTGTGCCGCCCACTTTCATTACGGGCTTAACCACGAAGGAACGAAAACCCTGCTAGCGAGGGAACACTAGTCCAGATGATCTAAGAAATCCTTCAGACAATGGCTTTACCCGACGACTAATGATGTGCGCAGAACAAATTAACTGCGCCCGGATTAATATGCCGGGCACCCCGACCCGGACCCAGTCTTCTGCATGGCAGTCAGGAGTGTTTCATCCATCTACACGTGTGCTGGCTGCGGAGCCACCCCCTGGTGAGCACGACGGCGATCATGCAGTACTTCGATACGACAGGGATCGCAAGACAGCGGGGTCACTTGCCACGAGGCATCTTTGCCCCTAGAAGATTCCAGATAATCTTTTCACGCGAGAAGAAGAGCGCTGTTTGAACTAGTATGGTGATTCCGCCTTGTGTATCAATGCCGTCATTCGACAGATACGTGCCAGTATGGTTCCTAGCCCATTCACTTCTGCTGAGACATCGCTACTCCTCCACACGGACTATCGGTATTCCTCCACAGTGTAACCAACTTTCATGCGGGCAATGTAGCAGGAACAGCCACCAACAGGCACCAACCAGAACCAACGTGTTGGGGTGCTCTTCATCGCTGACTCGTTCACAGATCCTGCAATCGCAATTTAAGCATGACACTATCAACAGGGCAAAGATGTCAGCGGTGCAGACTAGGATGCACTAGGCAAGGCCTTTTGTCACAATTGTCTCAGTACCTCTAAACCCTACCATCTGCTTACCAAGATGGCAGAGTTGTGTGCATACCTTGTATGAGACGAACCAGCATACTGCAATCCTGTTACATCGAGCTGCAGGTCATGGATGAGCGGATCACAACACAGATCTTGCCCCTGACGAGCCTAATCCTGGAATTCCTTCCACTTGACCATCCTATCTCTCAAATCGACTTCCTTTCCGTCAATCACGAACCGGCCATCTCCGCGATGGTGAGCCATCTTCATTTCCCTCTTCCTTCGTTTGCCACCACCAACACGATCGTCGTCATCTGCTGGGTCTCTGCTTCCCTGGCCATACTCTAGATCCATGTCTCTATTGATCCATACTCCAGTCACCTTCAGCACCCACAGGTTGTATCTTGCCACCAACGCTCGGTCCTCAACCGTACACTGAATGTTGGCTATAACATCCTTCCCTCCAACCAAAGGCGCCTGTGCTCTCCCTTCCTCACCCCCTTTTCTAGCCCACGACCCATCTGCAGATGCAGGATCTGGAGCTGGGACCGGGTTTATTCCAGAATTCACCCACTTGTTGACATCTTCCCCACTGCAGTTGCCGATATCAACGGCCTTCTCCAACATCTCCACTGCAGGAATGGCGAGCACGCATTCGCCCGTCTTCTTCAAGTTATCATAGCTCTTGTCCCACGGCCCAATGCAGGCACCGACAAGTGTTGGTCCTTCGTGCTGGATCATCATGTGGAAACCCATTGTCATTATGTTGTGCGTCTTGTTGGCTATAGAGCCGGTCGCCACAAGCAAAATGGGTCCAGGCTCCAGGAGCCGATTGACTTTGTGGATAGGATAGGCCACGAACTGGTCCAGACCATTGCGCTTATCATCGCCATCGTTGGAGCTGAATTCTAGTCTCGATTTTTTCGGTGCCCGGTCCGGCTCCGACTCCGACTCGTTCAGGGGCTGCTGCAGACTGACATTGACATCCCTTTTCGTATTCATATTGTTCCTGCGGGACATAACTGCCGTAGGCCTCTCGTCTCCTTCCTATACAGGTATGTGCGGGTTGGAATATAGATGAAAAATGTACATACACCACTTGCGGTGTACCTCGTCAGGAAGACATTCAGAGAACCTCAAGATGAAGTGCAGTGAAGAAGAAGTTGCTAAGTCGGAGAACATCCAGGACAAAGAAGTGCACCCAAACTTGCTTGCGGAACAGACTGCCTCTCCCCGCATTCCTAAGAACTCGGGATCGCGCAACCCTGTTGGTCGGCTCTTTGTTCCCCCTCTAGTGAGTGACGTACTCAACCATTGTTCCCCTTCATGTTCCCCAATGAATACTTTATCGACAATATCACAAGTAGTGCTTATATCCACTCTGAACGTGAATGCAATTACACTTTGCCATCGAAACGACACTCTCTCCTACCATGTAGACAGAATAGAATGCAGGAAATATATACTAGTATCTACCTACTACTTAGCCACAAACACATCATCATCTTTTGATATATCACTTACCCCTTCCGCTTTGAACGTAGATAGTACTAGACAACCAAATCCAGCCTATTATCCTTTCACAATCATTCCACGTACATCCAGAAACACACCATGATTGTTACGTTTCTCGTACTTGGTAGTGTACATGAGTTTTGCAAATAGTATGTATACTCATGCACTTCACATGATACAATCTGGCGAAGCCACGCCACTGTCATCCCTACCAGTAGTAGTAGTAGTAGTAGTAGTAGTAGTATTTGATCCAATAGATGGGTGGGTGGGTAGTAAAGTACTAACGTCTCCGAAACAATGACCCACAAGTAAGTACTAGTTATTTATATTCACGATCAAAACTCAACTAGATGATATAAACCTCTAATACATGAAATTCACTACTGGCGCACTCATAATAGGCCGGGGTTAGTACTCATATCAGAACCTCATAAATATGCACCTGACATTTGAAATAGCTGGACGGTGCTGGCGGTTCGCATTTACTAGTATTTATATAAATATATATGATGGTAGAAAACTACCCCTGCCAGACATTGAACCTCCCAAAACTCAACTACTACTAGTAGTAGTAGTCACTTTGAAGTGATACAAACTCACAAACGATCATTGCCATCAAGATGCTAATTGTCCCCCGAACAAGTTAACTCCAAGCATACATATATGGTAAGTAGATGATGCTACCATTGAGGTAGGTAGGTGGTTGGGTAGTATTTATTATCAGGAGTAGTAATACTACTAGGTACCATGGAGTGATTTGGGTTTGGATCATTGTTTTTGGTATTTGTAGTACTACCTACTAGCGCTAATGCATGATGCTGAGATGGTGATTGTTCTGTGGTAGTAGTCACATTAGTACTGCTGTGGTGAAAGGTGCAATATATATAAATATATTTGTAGTACTAGTGTTCGGATACTAGTTACTCAGTAACTGAACTGATCAACCATATCAATTCGGATGAAACACCAATTAACATGATAAGTTGGCGATTATAATATATATCTGACAAGATCATATGGCTGCCTACTTGTGGAAAGAAACATCGGTACTCATCGTCATCATGCTACCCCGAGGTCTATGTGGTCATTGCATAAGGAGAAAAAAACATCATTACAGCTACAAGATGATTGACTGATAATCAATGCATCACGCACATGGTACACATTCATCCTCACATTAACTACAGGGCTGTCCGTCACATTACTTACAATCTTCCAGTCAAGGCTACTGTATGTAGTACCCATGACAAGCACGCGCGGCCCACCGCCATAGAAACAAGCATCGCAGAAATACAACAATTGGGGGGTTCTCGGCTCAATAACAAAAAGATTTGGGAAAATAAATGCTGTCCACGAGGGTAATCGACTAGAATACAGCCCACTTCAAATAACGCCTTATCAAAAATGAGATCCTGAACTGATATACCTCAGCCCGACTCTTCGAGTCTTGACCTTGAGAAGCCCTTTGATGAGATAGACAACACCAAGTCGAGAATGTAACCATCAATGGCTAGTGACTTGGGTGTTTCTGAAGAGCCGCAAGCCTTCAAAGTAAAAGTCACGGTCGGCTTTCTCAACAACGCTCCGGGTGGGTTGCTATCCGCCACGGGCGGCACATACCACATGTATGGAGCGAATGTGCTTTTCATAGCCAGTGGCTGAAGGGGTCATCATATCCTATCTGCAAACATGCACTGGTATTGCAAGGTCGCTGTATAGTCCAGCAGGAATAAGAAAAGGAGGGAAAGGATAGCTGTCGTGAAGGGTGAATTTATGGTGACAAGCGAAGGTTGTGTAAGGTAGGAAGAGGTATCTGGCAGGGCATGGCTCTATCGTTAAAAGACATGCACAGATAGGATGTTGGTCCACAAATGGCGTTGTCCATGAAAAGCTGGCGATCGCATCCCTTCTAGCGTCGATCGGGGTTAGTCACCTAGTACCTGTTAGCCGGAACTCTTCATCTCTGTTCATCGTTCAGTTAAGCCCACCTGCAGGATGCGACGAGAGAAGTCTTGGTCATCATCGATGCTGCCATTGCTCTGACGGCGCTGCGCCATGAAATCACCATCGAAACGGGAATCCGACATGGAGTGCTGGGACATCGGGTTGCCATAGTTGTCCACGCCAACACTACGACGGTATTGCGACTTGCGGTTCTTGAAGCGCCACAGGAAGAAGCCAGCGCCAGCAAGAGCACAAGCTCCTACTACACCCACGACAACGCCAGCTGCAATGGCAGCAGTGTTGGCACTTGAGCTCTTCTTCTGTGAAGCTTCAGTGGCACCCTCGGCAGTTGCAGATGCGCTCGCATCGGTCCCGGATGTTGCATACACGGTTTGCGTGGTGCCAGAGCTAGTGACGACATGGGCTTCTTGGGTCGATGATGTAGACGTTTCGCTGTCGCTGCTGGAGGTACTTGTGCTCGAGGCGGAATAATGGTCGACGTCGTTCTCAATGCCAGTAAGGTAGACGGAATAAGTATTGCTGCCACCACCTATATCGTCACCGTTAGCAGATGTGCCATCTGAGGCCCAAAACCGGAAAACCTACAGTCCACAGAAGGCCAGCCGGCACATGCGGTATTACACTTGCTGTCATCAACCTTTGCTGACGAGGCAGGTAGCAGGTTGCCGCAGAGACAATCCTGTCCGTTATGCAGGGCAAAGACCGAGTAGTTGTCCTTCAAACACAGCTTCTGACAGTATCCATCACTCTGATATGTATAGGTTCCCTGATCTTTCAGTGGCGTCGAGTCGGAGTAACAGCCATTGTATTCCTCGGTATAGGCATATGTTGCAGGCAGACTGATGGATAGGAGAAGGGCTGAGGCTGCAAGAGCCGACCGCATCGTGAATGATTTCGTGGTGTGGTACATGGTCGACGTAAGAAAGGATCCCAAGGGGTAAGGGTTGGTTGAGTTTGGCGAGAAGTGACCTCAAAGATACAGCGAGGGAGGTTGATCGAAGAATAAGGGACGACCTGCGTAACCCTTTGAACCTCTCAGAGCCACTTTCAAAGTTGATAGTCCTGGTGGTCTTTTCTCACTCCTATGTCCTCGAGCTGGACGTGTCGCGACGGTCCTCCGGGGGTAGTGGAAGAGTACGGATAGTTTGCAAGGGCCGACGTTGAGGACGAGTGACGTAGATGGGACCAGGCCTTGACGTGGAGAACTGGTCGGGTATAGACCGACAGTAGAGGGTCAGAGGATGGTAGTAGGTGAGGATTAGAGTGAAGATAGCGATGAAAGAGTGTGGTGTCTGCCCTGGGGGGAAGCGGTCCCTGGCGGGGAAGGGCCCTTTGGACCGGTCGTTTCAAGCACCCCTTTCTGTCGGGAAGAGTTTAATGAGCGAGCCTGAACGGGCGGTTCAGGAAGGGAAATCGGCCAAGGGTAAATTCGCACCCACAGCAACAGGGGAGATTCTATTATGGCCCTTTGCGATAGATTCGAGTTATCCAGATAATAGAAGCTCGACCTGGGGGGGCCACAACAGTTCTGGAGAAGCGAGAGTGGTATGAAGAGTTGGAAAAACGAAAATCCAATGGAAAATAGGAATAAAAAATTGCACAAAAACAATAATGTCCTAATAGAAGGCCAAAAAGAGTGACTGGGTTGAAAGCAGGAAAGAGAAAAGAGGGTCAGGGAAGGGGAAAGCGACAGAAACGATTGACAGACTCCTTCCTGGGACACAACAGGGTGACTAGTACTGCAGAGGCGGAGGACTGGACTGGGAAGGCATTAAGCGACGCACTGACGGGCGAACTAGTACTAGTAAGTAAGTAGTATTACTGTGTACTTCCCGTAGGGGGAGGTCAGAGACAACCTGAGGGAGGAGGAGAAGGGGAGAGGGGGGCCTGTGTGTGCCTGCCTGTCTGCAGCACCAGTTAGTTAGTTAGTTAGTGACTGCTGAGTTCGCCCGCGTACTAAAGTTTCCCCTACTGGGACGGTCGAGAAAAAAAAAGGGACAAACAAAGCGTGAGGGAGGAGCATCATTCCCATCCATTCCCTGCCTTCTCCCCCAATGGCAGGGCGTGAATCCAGACGCGGTTCTCTTGTTGGTGGTTCCCCGACGGGACCTGACCCTGGATGTGCAGGGCGGTAATTTACCATGTCCCGCGTACCTGTCCCTGATACCCAATCATCTTCCTTAGATTATATTACATCAGCAGACCCGTCCAGGGGCAGGGCTCATCCCTTTCCATTCTGGGCCACACGGGCGGCACAATTACAATTGGAGCTGCTGCTGGCATGCACTAACTAATTCAATCCCCCTCCCCAATCCACCCGGTCATGGGGTGGGCGGGCATGATGACTGGTGGCGGCGCTGTATATTTACCCATACAAAGAGGGGGGATGGGAAGAAAATAGGCACATGCTCAGGCGTTTTTTGGGGGATTTTTTCCCCTTCGTCTCAGCTCCTCCATAACATACTTTCCTTCCTTCCGTCTGATGCCGCGGTCGGAACTCGAAAGGCATGAAATGTGCGACTCGACTCATACATACTAGGCACATACCAGCATCTTGTGATCTAGTTGGCGAGAATATTTTCCTTCCCCTTTACCTTCATGTAATCTCCATATGGCTACTTCGACATTCCATGCATCTTCCCTACTGAACATCTGCCTGTCCCTTACGATCATTATTCGGCACTCCCGGCAAGACAAATACGCGTATTCAAGTCAAAAACATAAAGAAATGGAAAACGACCAAAATTGGAAGAAGCAACTCGAATTTTGCCCGGGAAGAGGTTTATAAATAGTAAAGATCCTCGGTACGACCTCGGGCACTGATGCCCTCTGTACGAGGACACAAGCCTCGCGCAAACTCACCCGGCCAAACTCAGCAAGTAGTAACAACGCTGCTGCTGGCACCAGCCATTGAATGTCGATAGAAACGCCTGCTCCACGATGGACTTTTCCAAATCCGACTGACTAATGATGACTTGTACGGGGTCTCATTTGTATCAGTCCTTGCATGACTGCATGACGGGCAGCGCGAAGTTTTCCCCTGCCCACTTGTAAGATGTCTGGCCAAACCACTAGGTAATGGTATTGGTTCTGGCGTCAATAATGTATTCGGTCTCTGAATCGTTGCGTCATCCATCTCGAGACACAAGAACGTAAATCAACTACGCATCTACTAGTAGCATCCGACACAACCGTCAGTAGTGAGGAGTGTGTGCCTTACTCCCCCAAATTTTGGAGCCGACACACCTCGAAGACGAACGGCGGAGGATGTCACTGGTCAGGGGAGTCGATTAACCGCCCAAACTCCGGGGCCCATCATCGCATCGCAATTCCAACAGTCGCTGAGAGCATCCAAACTAATCCTTTTTGATCCTTGATCCGCATAGTCTGCCCAATGGGATATCGCTGCTTGAGGGAAGCTATGCACGCCGTCACGGACTCGAGTGCTCCAGTTTGTTGGTTAATAGTAATCTAGTTAGCGACCGGCGGGCCCTCTCCTCTTTCGAGTCAGAAAAAAAAAAGAGTTCGAGTGACCTCGTGCTTGGCTTTACCGTTGAAGCAGTCAATACTCAATAGTGGGTAGCGATTTACAACGCGACACAACGCACTTATGCTCTACGTATCAGAGCTTCATTTGCCACATCACTGTTTCGGTTGAGGGAGATCCTCTTGCATCATTACCAACCTGCGACTGGAATGGTTCCGATGGTTCAAGACGGTCGGGTCGTTTCCGGGGTGCGGTGGGCGCGCGGTAGATAGTGGGACCTTTTGGAACCCCTGCAGAAGTGCAGCCTGCGCCCCGTAAAAAAAAAAATAAGTAGTTAGTAAGTGTTGTAAATGTAAACACCGCTTGGATAGTATCTACGCAAGGATTCTCCGCTCCCACCCCCCTTGACGCGTATATCTGCAAGACTCTATGCAGGCAATTGAAATCACGGCGCTTTCTCGACCACCAGGAAATTCAGATGCTGATAAATTGTAATGGGCTGATCGATTTGCAGGAGGTTAATTAATTGATTGATTGATGGGCAATGGGGAAGTGCAACTGATGACGACTCCTTCGGTCGGAAACTACTATATTCAATAGGAAATAACCGGCGACTTCTTGCCGCCCATTCTACAGGAAAATAGACACATGTCCCGTTACATCGTGCATCTTGCTTTTACTTTTTACTCTTACTCCTTTAGAGCGCGCGTGGAAGGAAGATGCTTGATCTTTCGCCACCAATAACATACCCACAAGTTTTATTTTGAAGATGGGAACGAACATGCACGATCAACTGTTCCCGTTTCCCGCGGGCCCATGGGAGGAATTCTAGAAGAATGGAGCAGCAGCAGCAGCAATCCTTCTTCACATGCCGAATAAGCTTATCGTCCGTTCTTTTTCCATCATTCCAGGCCTAATAGGAACGGGTGTCTGAAATTTAGCATTCTCCGAAGTGGTTTGTCGTGTAGGGTCTGTCTATGCTGCGATGGCTGTAGATTTCCAGTTCACTGGCTTGCACTGGCAAGGCTCGACTACTTACTTATTCGAACACCATCGACCTATGTCAGCACTCCCAAAATAGTACGGATACACCGGGGAAGGATAAAGGTAAGGGCAAGAAAATAGTGAAAAAGAATAAAAAAGCAAGCAAAACAAAGACCAATTTCCACCTAATAGTAGTAAATGACGAGGAAAAATATTGTAGGAATAGAAACTATCAACACCACAACCCCATCCATCCACCCATTCGCAGGGCAAAGGAAAGAAGATCACCGGCACTGCCGGCAATTCACCCACTTGACGCTTTTCTCGGCCTCACCGGATACCACCTCCGACTACCAAGAGGTCCTACCATTTAGCCAGAGACGGTGAGCGAGCAAGCAAGCAAGCAAGCAAAATGAGTGAGTCAAAGCGACCCAGTAGAAAAAAGGCCCAACTCAAAATGAAACCCTGACCGAGGGGTCTAGAACGTGTCACCAGGATCCACGATGTCTCTCCCGGGGTTTCCATTTTTAAAAGTTCCGTCAATGATAGACCCAATCGTGTACGCGCAAGAGACAATAGCGCAGGATTTTCTATTGCTTTGCCAAGAAAGGGAAATCTCGGCTCTAGATACACAATAATAATTAACTGGGTTGGCTGAGGGAACACGCGGATGGATCATTGGGAACTTGACCTGGTAACGATAGCCTCGAGGGTCTCACTTGTGTGTGTGTGACCATGACTGACTCGGGGGGTGAGGTAGGGTTGGTCTTGGTGACTGACCACCACTTCTTGTTTCTATTCGCTTTTCTTTCTGCTTGGTGGGATGGTAAGGAAATGTTTATGATGATCATGTATCTTGCTAATTATTGAGAGCGTAGGGAGTTCTAAGACATCTTGTTCTGTATTATTAGTAGGTCGAAGTTGGCAGGCTAGAACCTCCATAGAGGGCTTGAGTAGCCATCGGCTCCATCGTCTACTAGTTCCTGATCAGCTTATCAACACGAGAGGGACGGTTCCCCCATGATTTCGGACTCGGCGTGCATTGGTCTTCCCTCCATATCTGGTAGGTCATGTGGTATCTTTGAGTCGATTATATGACACATCGATTATATGAATATCGGATGTGGATGGATGATCAGTTCGTTGGGCTTCGGATTCCTACTTTGGAGCTTATTGCAAGCTGCACCTTTATATCCTACGAGTATGTACTTAGGTGATGTTTCCTGCACGAATCTGAGCATGTACTTGGTCTTGAAGTGAACATCCAATGCTACAACCCTTCGCACACTTGATAATTTTCTCCAAAACAATCTATAACAGTATCATAGTTGTGTCTTCCCTATCTGTTTAGAGGATTTTGATCTTCGAAACATGCTCAGTATTTAGGACAAAGCAAGAAACATTGCGTAGCTGCTGCACGATGACATAACAATGATCGCCATACTATAAACCTATATGTATCATCATTGCAATAAGCTACAGGTAGATAATCTCCTGTATACAATACCAACCCCGATACTTGCTGAAAACGAAGGACAAGACACTATGCAACATATGCAAATTATTTTCATTTCTGTGACAACTGCGTTATCTTCCACAGATACATCGTACCATACTTTTTTCTTTCCCTATTATCCGGTCTCCCGTGGTGTATATTGCTCGTAAAAAACATCTCTATCACATTTGGGAATCCTGATCCGGACAAGTGCCTGATTGCCCGTTCGGTTCTCCCTGCATTTAAGGCTTAGGGATATGCAGCGTTTTGCTGACCATAAGGCAGCCGTGCAGAACAAACAGTAGTACCAGCGGGTGGAATTCGAACGCTGTGCCCTGGGCTACAAGGCCAAGGGGTAGATCTTCCAATACCCAGTCTTTTGAGACACAGTAGGCCAGGAAAAAGGTGATCGACAATGTGGTCGGGATGGGGGTGCCCTCAAAGTACTTCGACTTTCCGGACTTGTCCTTCGGCAGAACAGCAACAGTCACGTTGAAGCGGGCCAATCGTGTCAGGCCGCACAGAACAAAGAAGGAGAGGAGCAGGTGGTCGAGGCTGGTGCGCATTCCGAGGGCAAAAGCTGCGGCGGCAGGTGCCATTCCGAAGGAAATCTAGTGCACAGAAAGCGAACAATGAGCGAAAGAGCCGCATAACAAGTGAAGTAGGGGACCATACCAAATCGGCCAGTGAATCAAGCTCTTGTCCCATGAGTGACGACTTCTTCCTCCACCTAGCAATCCGTCCATCCATGAAGTCGAAGAACAGCCCAAAGGGCATGAATATCAAAGCAGCCCAAATTGCGCCAAAATCGCGAGGGTCACCAAGACAGTAACGCATCGAGGAGAAGACGGACATCACTGTTTATGGGCGGTTAGTTCCGGGTCCGCGGGCTCGAAGAAAGGAGAAAATTTGTGCTTGCCTCCACAGAATCCTATAATGGGTGTCAGCGAATGGATATTTCAGGATATGAACCGGTCTGGGAGAGGATCTGGTATATTACCATTGAGTTCAGTTACCAGATCAGCAAGATGCAGAGCCCTGATGTGCGTAATTGTGTAAGTGAAGTGGTCGAACCCAAAGCAACGAACTCCCAATGGCTGACCTGATCATGCTAAAGTGACCTGTTTCGGAAGAGAGAAGCATCTTTTGCTTTTCTTGAGCTGCTACCATTTAGCTTCGCAAGCTTTGAGGATCTTGTTGCAGGGATGCAGGCTCACCACCGTCACCCGCAGGTGGAACACCGCTAGTCGTGGAAGTATTTGACGGCATGGCAGAAACTCTGCGAGACATGCTCAGGTGAATTTGACGAGAGGAAGATTCTCGCAGGACAAACAATCGAGGTAGTGGTGTACGTTGGATATATTCGAGAACAGGTTGCGGGGATAGGAAAGAAATGATGCAATGGTACTAGGCAGCTGTCTTCAGAAGTGTTGACAGGCGCACAGATTCTACGGCACAAGCGTGGCCAGACGTCATTGCAAGGCGGTGTTGTCATGCGCCACACACGGACACTAGCCACTCTAGACCATCGCTGAAAAAGTTTACTGCGCCACATTTGCCATCCAGTCATATGGGCAATTTATGGCTTCTTCGAAGACCAGAACCAAATAATGAAAGAACAATATTCCGCATAATCGATCGTAGCAATACATGAATTGGATGGCTGAGATTCACGACAGCCTCTGCGTACAGAGAAGCAGCAAATTTTTCCTAGGATGCACAAGAATATAGAGACAAATAAATTCCTGTAAAAGCTCCCGTTTCCCATAACGCCGTAAGAAGACAGTACTACCAGGCAAGACAGAGACTGTCTACCGTCCGCGGAAGCCTCCACCACGAGGTCCTCCTCTGCCACCACCCCTCGAGAAACCACCGCCGAAACCACCGCCGAAGCCACCACCGCTACCACCACGGAAGCCACCACCCCTGGGACCACCACGTCCTCTGGGAGCGCCGCCGCGACCACCACGCATGGGGGCACCACGGCCACCACCACGGCCACCGCGCATGGGACCGCCTCTGGCACCACCGCCAGCTCTCTTGGGCTTGGCAGCACCTGTATTCTGGTTAGGATCAAGCACAAAGAATTGTTGCGCGAAGCGAGCGATATCATACCGGGAGCGGGCTTGGGCTTGGGAAGGAACCTAGTTTCGCAGAGTTAGACATGTTTTGGTCATGATTAACAACAGCATGCAACATACTTCTCCAAGGGAAGGAGCTTGTCGCCACCAATGTAGACCTTGTCACCAGGCTTGAAGGAGGTCGCGACAATTCCTTCCTGGGGCTTGATGGTGAAGTAGACCTGGTTGATGGGGCCCAGGACTTCATCGACCTTACCGATAGGGGTCTATTGAAAAATTGCGTTAGCGCATCGCGATTTGCGGAGAGTATCTGAGTCGAGCATACCTTGTTCTCGAGGTAGATGGGGGCGTTGAAGTAAGGAATCTTGGGGTTGATGGATTCGCAAACCATCTCGCCTTCGCAAGAATGCATGACAGTTCCCATCTCTAATTACTCTGCGTTAGTCCCAAACACTCCAATCGCATTTTGGCGTATAATTACCCAGAACTTGGGCAGGGGGACCGAGAGGTTGCTGGAAACCTCCGCGACCTATCCGACGAAATTTTCGTTAGCTCATACCCAGCACTGCGATCGACCTCTAATGTTGCTTGAGCTCACCTCCACGGCCACCGAAACCGCCACGGCCTCCACGGAAAGACATGTTTAATTGCTGTTGATGCGGTCGACCTGGATCTCGGAGTCCGGAGAAGTTTTCAAATGGTGGGAAGCTCGAAACGGTAAAGTGTCGCTAGCCGCAAGGGCAGTTTTCTGTCACGTGGCTCACCGCCTTCGGTCCCTCACTGTCGATTTGCGTTTCATGATCGTCCGATTCCTTAGAGATAGTGAGTCAGACATCGTTGCTGGCCCTGCCCCTCTTCCCAGGTCTAATACTCCCAGGTCGTTCTTCAGACGTTTCTGGATACAAAATGTCTTCCGAAGGCGCAAAGGACCTTCCCGTCAGGCCGGCGGCCGACGCCAAACCTGCTGGTGAGCCACTGCCTGCCCCGCCATACGCTTCCCAAACCCCTCTTTTAACCTTCGAATGCGCCAGGTGACGGGCTCCCCGATTTCATTGTCGAACGTAACAACTTCTTCGAGGAACTCTGGCAACAATACCTCGAGGAACTCAAGAACAAGCCCCACCCCGAAATCAAGGTCAACCTCGAGCTTGGCGACGGAAACTCTATCGATGTCACCGCAAACGCCTGGGAGACCACCCCCGCACAGCTTCTGAAGAACGTGCCCAAAGAGTTGAGCGCCAATGTTGTTCTCGCGAGGGTTGGAAAGGAATTGTGGGATCTGAGCCGTCCGCTCGAGGGAGATTGCACCGTTTCTTATGTCCCCTTCGATCACCCCGAGGGTAGGGAGGTTTTCTGGCACTCTAGCGCTCACTGTCTGGGTGAGGCTTGTGAATGCGAATATGGATGTCTTCTGTCCCACGGTCCTCCCACGCCCCAGGGTTTCTTCTATGACATGGCCATGCCGGAAAAGTAAGTGTGGGTGAGATTATGCGGAAGAGCTATACTGATAGTGAAATAGCCGCGTCGTCAGAGAGACCGATTGGCCGTTGTTGGACCGCCACGCCAACCGCATCTTCAAGGAGAAGCAGAGTTTCGATAGACTGGAGGTTACGAAGGAGAACCTCAAGAAGATGTTCGCGTACAGCAAGTACAAGCTGCACTACATTGACAAGCTCGTCACCGGAGAGAAGAGCACTGTTTACCGGTGTGGTACCTTGGTCGATCTGTGCAGAGGTCCCCATATCCAGAGCACCGGCAAGGTCAAGACCTTCAAGATCATGCAGGTGTGTATCATAATGAATCGATTCCTCGTAAATATATGGCTGACACCTCAAAGAACTCTTCCGCCTACTTCCTCGGTGACCAGTCCAATGACTCTCTGCAGCGTATCCGCGGTGTTGCTTTCCCCGATAAGAAGCAGATGTCAGAGCACCTGAAGTTCTTGGAGGAGGCCGAGAAGCGCAACCACGTTAAGCTGGGTAAGGAGCAAGAGCTGTTCTTCTTCGACGAGGTTTCTCCAGGATGCCCTTTCCTTCTCCCCAACGGTACCAAGATCTTCAACGCTCTCCAATCCCTTTTGCGCTCCGAGTACCGTAAGCGCGGCTACCAGGAGGTTCAGACCCCCAACATGTATGATGTCGGCATTTGGAAGACGTCTGGTCACTGGGCCCACTACAAGGATGACATGTTCAAGCTTGATGTCGAGAAGAGGGAGTGGGCTCTTAAGCCTATGAACTGCCCCGGTCACTTTGTGCTCTTCGGCCACCGCGAGAGAAGTTACAGAGAACTTCCTCTGAGAATCGCGGATTTCGGTGTCCTGCACAGAAACGAGGCATCTGGAGCCCTGAGCGGTCTCACCCGTGTTCGCAAGTTCCAGCAGGATGACACCCACATCTTCTGTACCCAAGACCAGGTGAGTTTTCACGATCGGGATCGCATCCTGTTGAATAATCCGGAGCTAACACTGTAAAGATCACATCTGAAATCGAGGGTCTGTTCGACTTCCTGCAGTCCATCTACGGCCTTTTCGGCTTCACCTTCAAGCTGAAGCTCTCCACCCGGCCCGAGAAGTATTTGGGTGAGCTCGAGACCTGGAACTACGCAGAGGAGCAGCTCAAGGCGGCCATGACCAAGTTCAAGGGCAATGACTGGACCATCGATGAGGGTGATGGTGCCTTCTACGGTCCGAAGATCGATATTACCATCGCTGACGCCCTCAAGCGAGAGTTCCAGTGTGCCACCATCCAGCTTGATTACCAGGCTCCCATTAACTTCAAGCTCGAATACATGAGCAACGAGAAGGCTTCCGCTGATGCCGCTAAGGAGGGTGAGGCCAAGCCCAACGAGCCTGGTCCTGGCCGTGCTCGCCCGGTTGTCATCCACCGTGCTATCATCGGCAGTTTTGAGCGTTTCCTTGGAATTTTGATCGAGCACTTCGGTGGCAAGTGGCCTTTCTGGATCAGCCCTCGTCAGATCCTGATCGTGCCTGTCATGCCTGCTGTCAACGACTACGTTGAGGAGTTGCAGACGATTCTCCGCGGCGATAAGCTGAACGTGGACATCGACCTCAGCGGCAACACCATGCAGAAGAAGATCCGTACTGGACAGCTTCAGCAATACAACTTCATCTTCGGTAAGTGACATCTGAATCCGCTTTTCGTGGACTTGCGCTGATAATATGAAATAGTTGTTGGCGCTTCCGAAAAGGAGAGCCGTACGGTTAACATCCGTAACCGTGATGACCCTGCCACCCAGAAACAGGGCGTGATGATTCCTCTCGACGAGGTCCGCGAGAAGCTCCGGGTCCTGAGAAAGGAGCGGAGACTGGTCAACGCTCTCTAAGCGAACCATCATTTTTCTTGCATCTGATCGTTTGCATCGCGGGTTCTGAATTACGTGCTACGAGATCTACGTGTCAATATACCATGACTTAGATACTAGATCGCATAAGAGGCGATGTCGGCAGTGATGAGAGATTAGACCCGGAGATTAAGACGAAGCGAGCGCTGCGTGATGCTGTGTTTCTTCCACGGTGATTGAGTATAGCCTTCGGGGTAAAAGTTCACGTATATGGCGGCAGAGGATATTGTTTAGAATTGCAAGGGCGTTAGAGCTAGCTGTTGATTGTTAACTGAGCCTCAATCCATGAATTATTTCACTTAAGAAGCGATTGATCTCCTAAGAAAGGGGGTAAAGTCTGGCCCCAAGGGCTGGCCGCCGATTGCGTTTCGGATGTCCGACCGTCCATTCCCGAAACGCGAGCCAGACTGCTCGGACTAAATGTACCACGTTTTACTTCTTCCCAATCCAACTTCCACTCCTTGAGGACCGAATCACGCCCTTTCTGACCGGGGTGAGGATGATCCTTGTGGTGCACACAATCTCGCGTACGGGAAGACTCAATCGCATCACCGTCATGACTGATCCATGATGACTCCGCCGTTGCACCGTCGGTCATGGCGCCAATCAAGGGCGTCGGCACTAATCATCGCCGCGGCCTTTTTCTCCGCAGGCTTCATACTATTCTTCTACTCCAGACCTAGCTATGTTGCTCCAATTCCCGATCTCGAGTCCAGTCCTTCCCTAGCTTCTCCCGATGACACCAATCCTTGCTTTGTGGATCTCGATCTTCTCCGACAATACTCTAGTACCGCCAAAGTACAATATGCTAGGCTTGAGATAGCCGTGACACCTACGGAAAACTTCACTGGTTATGCGGATACTCTTAGCACGCGCTTTCCGAAGTTTCGCACCGTACACCTAGACACCGAAGCCCATCGAGAGACTCTGTCGCCGGAAAAATGTACTGCCACCGTGACCGTCGAGGGGCCTCAGCCCAGTGCACCCCCGGACGCATCTCATATCATATTCGGCCTTTCTACATCGATTGATCGCTTGATTGACTCCCTGGATGCGTTTGCGCATTGGGCTGCGGGAACCAATGCGCAGATCTTGGCTGTGGTGGATAGCGGGGGACAAAAGAAGGAGGCTGAGAGACGGGCGCAGGCGCTGGGAATTCGGCTTACCATCGTCGAGGAAGATAATGAGCGCTTGGATCGATACTTCTATCTGGTGCAGTACTTGTACAAGCACAAGGATAAGTCCACTCAGTGGGTGGTTATGATGGATGATGATACGTTCTTCCCGTCAATGACCCGGCTGGTGGATCGGTTGGCTACCTACGATGCCTCAATGCCTCAGTATGTCGGTGCTGTGACGGAGGATTTGCAGCAGATGTACAGTAGTGGCTACATGGCATATGGTGGTGCAGGGATCTTCCTATCTATTCCGCTTCTTGAGCAACTCCAGCCGTGGTTCGATGAATGCTACGTGTTCAAAGGGGGTGGTGACCACATGCTCTCGCAGTGCATCTATAAGCACACGAATACTAAGCTCTCCTGGGAGCGAGATCTTTTCCAGCTGGATCTCCGGGGAGATGCGTCAGGATTTTACGAGGCTGGGCGGGCTCAGCCTCTCTCGGTGCATCATTGGAAGTCTTGGTTCCAGGCTGATATGGCGGCCCTCAGCAAGGCGTCCAGCATCTGTGGCGAGGAGTGTTTGCTCCACAGGTGGCTCCTACAAGATGAGTGGTATCTTGTCAACGGGTTTTCCGTGATCAAGTATTCGACCGTGTCAGACGATCCCTTGGCCATGGAGCAGACCTGGAATGCTAGCCAGTATACTGGTCCGAATCCGTTTACTTACAGTCTGGGACCACTACGCCGCAAGGATGAAAAGAAGATTTCCTTTCGGATGAGAGATGTAGTGCAGGAGAAGGATCGAGTGAGGCAGGTTTATGTGCATGAGGTGACACCCGAGGAGGTGGAGGTGTTGGAGGTGGTTTGGAACCATGCTGCATAAGATGACAGTTTGATTAGATACACATAAATGTAGAGAGAGACATAGATACATATATAAGATACCATATACTGATTCTTCTCCCAGAATATGTGATGATGAAGACTGAAGACTATCTTTTTGGAATGGAAGATGTAGAGTGCCTCAGGCACCAGATCATCGGAACCGATCGCGATGGACCCGTTGAACGAACCCACCTGGTTGTATGAAGTATTCCGTAGAGGCTCCTGCATTTGCATCCTCGCGACGCCGTTATGGAGACCAATGCTCGCTAATTAGTTGCATTGCTGCCTTCCTATGGGCTGCAACTCCTCCTGCATCTCCGACTATGAACGGTTCCCCTCAATTGCTGCAAGCTGCGCGCTTCGCAGGGTCCAATCAGAAAGCAATGTGTGTTGCCCGTCACACCTCGTCACTTTCAACGAACTCATCTCGCAGGTTCTGTTGATTTCTCCTGTCCGTGGTGGGTATTCAATAGTCTCTCATTTTCTTCTTTTTCAGCTTCAGCCTGTTAACATTCTTCGAGTCTGTCTTGCCGTGTCTCTGCTGATCCCGCAATTCCAGCTTCTCCTGTTTCAGAGTAAATCCAGACCCTCCCGGACATTGGCGGGGCGCTTGACCCAGACGACGGCCTGACAGACGCCATTCCTGGTGAATTGATTGACTGGTTCTGTACTTTCAACCCGCCGAGCTTGTCTGGAGAAAAAGTGACAAAGAGAAAAAAAAAAGAAAGAAAAAAAAAAAGGGAAAAAGCGACCAAAGCCGGAGGGAATTTTCTCTGTGAGAGTCAGAGAGAGACGCCTAAATCCACCAAGGAAAAGAAAAGAGAGTCAAAAACGCACCGCCGGGCCAGTCCAGCGCCTACTTTTTTGCTACTATTAAGTGACTTAACTCAGTGACTACCCCACCTGGTGCCATCCATCGGAACAACTCTCTCCCTACCTCATCAACTCTCCCCATTCGGCCTCCATAACTTCCCCTTTACTTCCCCCGCCTTCCCTCGTCTCGCTTCCTTTTTCTTTTACTATCTTTCTTGTTTGTGTTCTTCTACTTTGTACGAGTGTTTATCATGGCCGACTTGCAGGGTCGCAAGATCTTCAAGGTCTTCAACCAGGACTTTATCGTCGATGAGCGCTACAATGTCACCAAGGAGCTGGGTCAGGGCGCATACGGCATTGTTTGGTAGGTTTGATATTCTCCAATGGAGTCACTCATCCTGGAGCTTTCGCTATCGTGTCGATGGATCTCATTGTTCTAACCATATCAGCGCCGCGACAAATGCTCACACCGGTGAGGGTGTCGCCATCAAGAAGGTCACCAACGTTTTCAGCAAGAAGATCCTCGCCAAGCGCGCTTTGAGAGAGATCAAGCTGCTCCAGCACTTCAGAGGCCACCGTAACGTGCGTTATCCTTCCATTCCTTCCGATGATTGCTCCGAGCCTCGAGGCTGACGTGAAGATGGCTTAGATCACTTGCTTGTATGACATGGACATTCCCCGCCCGGACAACTTCAACGAGACGTACCTGTACGAGGGTGAGGCTTCTTTATATACCTACGGATTTATATTTCACGCTGCTAACTCTATACTTCCTTAGAATTGATGGAATGCGATTTGGCCGCTATCATTCGCTCCGGACAACCCCTCACCGACGCCCATTTCCAATCCTTCATTTACCAAATCCTCTGCGGTCTCAAATACATCCATTCGGCCAACGTTCTGCACCGTGATTTGAAGCCCGGAAACCTTCTCGTCAACGCGGATTGCGAGCTGAAGATTTGCGATTTCGGTTTGGCCCGTGGTTTCTCCATCGACCCGGAGGAGAATGCAGGATACATGACGGAATATGTCGCCACAAGATGGTACCGTGCGCCGGAAATCATGCTGAGCTTCCAGAGCTACACGAAAGCCAGTATGTGTCCCTGATACCCCCCATACCCCGGCGCTGTAGCTGATCAATTCCCAGTCGATGTTTGGTCCGTGGGTTGCATTCTGGCCGAGCTGCTGGGTGGCCGGCCCTTCTTCAAGGGCCGTGACTATGTCGACCAGCTTAACCAGATTCTCCACTATCTGGGTACTCCTAACGAGGAGACTTTGAGCCGCATCGGCTCACCTCGTGCTCAGGAGTACGTTCGCAACTTGCCGTTCATGCCCAAGATTCCCTTCCAGCGCCTGTTCCCCAACGCCAACCCCGATGCTCTCGACCTGCTCGATCGCATGCTTGCGTTCGACCCGACGTCGCGTATCTCGGTTGAGGAGGCCCTTGAGCATCCTTACTTGCACATCTGGCACGACGCCTCGGATGAGCCCACCTGCCCGACGACCTTCGACTTCCACTTCGAGGTGGTCGAGGACGTGCAGGAGATGCGCCACATGATCTACGATGAGGTAGTGCGCTTCCGGGCTCTGGTCCGGCAGCAGTCGCAGGCGCAGGCCGCCGCGCAGCAGCAGCAGATTGCCCAGCAGACCAACGTGCCCATCCCCGACAACCAACAAGGCGGATGGAAGACGGAGGAACCGAAGCCCCAGGAAGCGCTCGCCGCAGGCGGTGGCCACCACAACGATCTGGAATCGTCGCTGCAGCGGGGCATGGATGTGCAGTAGGCTACTACTAGTTCCAAACTGCCGCTGCCTTCTCCAAATACAGTGTACATGTGTTCAGTTTAAGGCAATGGTGGGGAGGAGAGGCCTGACTATTTGAGACGGATTATAATCATTATCGTTCCGGAAGTCGCGGGCGTTTCCTGGACTACCTACCGCCGTTATACGATATTATCGATATCGCTATCTATCCGTTATGCTGTCCTGTGTTATGCCCTTACTCCCTGTCTGCTGGGATTATGAATTCTTGAAATGCAAAACGTACGCTCTTGGTCGGCTGTTCTCATTGGATGGATTTGTTTTTTGTCATTGATTATCCCCCGTTAAAGAAAGAACTGGTTCTACTCGCATCCGGGAAGTGTCGTTTTGGAGACATAGTATCTTCGCCGGGAACCTGCTGCTTTGCAATTGAGCGCTGATTCGAACACGGTCTGCCTTGGTTGAATGCCTGATTCAATAGATAGAGTAGTCTGATAAATAGCATTTTGCTTCTCATCTCACAATTCGTCACTTCTTGCATGTATCAGCTAGTTGTAATCTACCTGGTACCCAAATATTCTCCAGAAGCACTGTAGGTTATAATTGAAATCAGCCATAATCATAACCAGTCATCACCGAAACCCCAACAATACTATGATACTGTGATAGAGCAACGCAAGCATACTACCCAGCCAATCGCAAAGAAATATTACTAAACCCGACCTAGATATTTTCTAAGTAGAGAGCCATCATGCGATCTTCGACGAGAAATCTCACCCGCACCGGAAGATCCGCTTCCATCCGCAGGGCTCAAAGAGAAATTCCAGCAACAAACCTCACCAGATATCCGTTTACTATCGATCATTAACCAACAAACCACGTAATACATCTACCCAAACCCCGTCGTAAAATCCCTCAATAGCGCATCCCACTGAATATCATCCACGTTGAACATATCCTCCACATCGCCGTAGATACTATTACTATGATCATCAGGCAACCAGTCCTGAGATACCATCTCACCATCATCCCTACTAATATCCAGCTGATGATCCGTACTAGTAGTCGTCGTGGACAACGACGTACCATCCCTTCTTATTGGATCATTTCCCACTACCGTCACCACCCCCCTAACCTGATAAGGATAACACCGCGCCAACAACCGCATCTTGGAACAAAGACTCCCTACCACGTCCATCTCTTTGTCTGTGGCGGATAACATTCGTTTTCCGTTTTCATGTTGAAGCTTGGTTTCTAGTGCTGTGGCTAGCGAAGTGACCAGGGTGGGGTAGTCTGCTGTGGTGATTATGGATTGAATTTGTGTTTGATCTTGATTCATCGTTGAGGGAGAAGAAGAAGTGCTCCTGATAAGATTAAGAAGTGCCAAAACAGCAGTGGGGATGTATCCCACCGCGGCGCAGATACGAGCGTTCGTTATGACTGTTAACTGGGGGATCTCTGATACGGGGAGGTTCGTGACCATTTGGATGACTTCCTTGCTTCGTTGGATGAGGGTCATGAGCATGGTTGTTCGGATGGTCGTGGCGGGGTCTGTGGTCCAGAGGTCTTCGCGGAGGGATGGGTCCTCGAGACGCATTTCGGTGTATTTGAGTTCGGTGGTGAGTGCGGTTGCTAGAGGTTTGGTTATATTTCATGGATGACTATGGGGGAGTGGTGGGTGGGTGGTATTAGGTACCTGTTAATGGAGGGCAGCTTGGGAGGTCTTTCTCGATAGATGTCCGTAGGTTGTCGAATTGTCGCTGTAGAGAACCGCGCGTGACTTGCACCAGGGCACTCCCGCCGGATGCTTGCATCGAAGCGTAGACTTCGTCCATCGTTGCCATGAATGACTGTAGGTGGATGATTGGTGCGATCCAGCGATCTGATGGATACTCGGTGGTGGCGGTAGTAGATGAAGCTAGATTCTTGACGCACTCGTCAATTTGACCATCATGTTTCATGGTAATAGGTCTGCCGAGTGTGCCATAGAACCTAGTACCAGCACATAGTATATACTATTAGCATAACGTCGCATATAGGGCAAGCAGTCACTCACCCAACGGACAACCAATACGTCCCCAGAAGAGCCCTCTGCTCATCCACAGCCAATCCATCCCTCTTATGCAACCCCAAATCATGCACAATCGCAACACAAAGTTGAATCAACAGCAACAGCCTTGGATGATACTTCTCAGCAGGATACGTGTACCACGCACAATGAACCAGCAACCCACGAAGCAACTCGAGATTCCTCTCAGATCGGGCCACAATCCTCAAGGTAACATGGTTCATAATCTCCTCAGCGACGATCTTGCGTAGAGGGTGCGCACTGCCCATCGTCGCAGCGACAACACACAAAAATAGAAACGGCTCTCGGACCCTGAGTTCATCGGCTGTCTCGCCGTGCGGGATCAAAACAAACGGAAATTTGGCAGTGAAGTCAGCTTTGAATACCGTGAGCATACGCTCGGCCTCAGCTGGACTCAAGAGCCCCCGGTCTACGAGTGATGGCTGGCCCGCGAGGACAGAGCTGGTCGGTGGATTGGGGCCGTGGGACGGGTCTTTAGCTGCGTCTAGCAGCGCAGCTATGTCTGTGTCCGTTGAATTTCCTTGGGTGCAGGAATCATGAGAAGATATGTGTAAGTCTCCATTTGTGTTACTGTTAGTCGGTAGAGTATCATTAGTAGAGGTATCAGGCGATAATGTCTGTCCGTTCTGCTGCTGGGTCAAGGTAGCCAGCCGGGACAAGAGCTGGTCGACTTTCTTCTCTAGGAGCTCTACACGGCTGTAGTTCTTACTAGTTAGCACTGTAAGTGCTGTTCATCGTTGATGGAAGGGGAGTACCTCGGTGCAGCTTTCTGTCTCTGCTTACGCTTTGTCTGCGGAAGGTCAAGGTACGTGCACGACTTGCCTAGACGAGCGCACCGCTGGCACAGGTTGGCAGTCTGTGGCGTACACTTCGCCTTGGCGGTGGTGCACGCCACGCATGCTCTCCTTTTAATTGCGGAGATTGGGGAGCTCATGATGTCGCATCGTGAGGAGTCGGGAACGGGGGAAACGGAGCGGCCGGTTGATGAGGATGCTTACTCCCGCTTGCTGACAAGGAGTAGTAAGACCGGGGGATCGGATCGTCCGGTCGGGACGGTCGGTAATCCGCCAAATGTATATAAATGTCGACGAGTATAGCGACAGAATACCGCAATAGCATCAGACAGAATTAACTCATTCGATACTACTGAGATTTACTTATTATTACATTCCATAAATCAATATCGGAAATGTCCTCATACGCCATAACCGGAGCCTCCAAAGGCATTGGCCGCGAATTTGTGCGCCTGCTCGCCGCAGACTCAACCAATACAGTGCTGGCAATCGTGCGAAACCCTGAATCAGCCGACATATCAGATCTCGCCTCCAAGCACTCCAATGTGCACATCATCAAAGGCGATGTCACGGACCCAAACTCCATTCTGGAGGCGGCCACAGCCGCAGCTGCCATCACGGACGGCAAGCTCGACGTGCTCATCCACAACTCCAACGCCGTTGACATGGATAGCATGGCCTCTACCCCAAGCCAATTGCCATTTGATGCTCAAGCGATTCAGAACATATTCAGCCCGTCGCTCAACACAGCTATCTACGGCGGTATATGGGCGACGAACGCTTTCCTTCCCCTGATCGAGAAGGGAGCGCAGAAGAAAATCGTTCACATCTCTAGCGGCATGGCAGATGTGGACCTTATCAATAAGGCTGGTGTTAGTAGCGGTGTTGCATATTCTATTGCAAAAGCTGGATTGAATGTCACGGTTGCGAAGTATGCGGCGGAACTTGCGCCTAGAGGGATTAAGGTGTTGGCTTTGAGCCCCGGATGGGTTGACACGTGGGAGGGTAAGTCAATTCCATTGCTCTGACTTATTTGTCTTTGGACTGTAAAACGAGAGATGCTAATGTAGTCGGTGACACAGGGGAGAAACCCGCTGGGGTGGTACACGCGAATGAGCTCCTGCTGAAGATGTTTCAGCTAGTTGAGCCTGAGCTCAAGGGGCAGATCCAGCCCGAGGAGAGTGTTAGGAAGTGTCTCCAGGTGATTGAAAATTTGGATGCTGGGTCTAGCGGGTCGTTCGTAAGTCATAATGGGGATAAGTCAAGGTGGTTTTGAGTATGTGAAATGTGCAAATTGCATGAGTTGTCGGGCTGAATTAAACGCGCGGTGACGTACATAGGCTTGGGGGTTAGTAGTGTCTAACTATTTCAAAATCGAGCATATCTGGCTTTCCTTAATATTATTTGCAGTATCTACGGCTGTAGATCGAGTGTGGGACCAGCGAGGCAGTCCCAGCCCTTGCGGCCCTGGCCTAACTGATCGACAGTTTGCATTCTGTAATCCCGCATTTTCTCGGTCATGACCTCTTTAGCTTGGATAGTTCTTTGATCTTCATAGCCAGTGGGTGCGCTAGACCAGGAGACCCCAGAGTTGGGCAGAAAAAGATAAAGCTAGAAAGTAGACGTGGTTACTGTCAATAGGACGCGATTGGAAATCGACTCATCCATAAAGCCCACCAGTATTCCCCTTGTGACCAAGCGTTTGAACCTGCCCCTCTCCAAGTAGAATGAGCGGCGGCGAATACTCTTTTCTCTTTCTGCCCTCTTGCGCAATTACTCAAGCCGATGCACGAACCGAGGGAGGCGCCGAGCACACAGCCAAGAGTCGAATTTCAAAGGAGGCTGTCGCATCTCAATAAATTCCGAGTTCGGGAATGACTGTGACACCCACCTTCCATCTGATAACTTTATTGAGAACTGATTGGGAGAGAAAGAAGGAGGGGCAGCCAGATTTGCGAAAGTAGGCGAGCGACGCTACTCTAGATTAGGAAAGAATAGCGGCAGGTGTGTCAATCTGGAATGCAGAGGCGGATCAGATAACTTTTTTGTTTTCCTACCCGGATGCCAGCGCAAGACGAGCCACTTTTTTACATCATTAGTGTCTGTGAAACTGAAGAAATTTTGGTAAAGCTCACTTGTATAAACCTACCCTATTCTATGTATAATATTTACAGCTGAAAACATAGAACTTCGGGTTTTCTGGACCACTAACTCACAAATCCTCCGTTCCGATCTCGCTGGCGTTTCATCTGATAAGATGACCCCCTGTGGAGAGCGGCCTCTATTGGCCGCCGAGGACCCATTTCTGGCAGTGCCCGGAATCACACGATCCGGTGTCGAATATTCCATGTCCTCCGGATCACCCTGGATTACGGGTCTTGCTGGGGACATACCCAATAGACTACCTAACTAGTAGGCACGCCGTGGTATGCCGCGGAAAATGACACTTCGTACACTTCCAGTCATCTTTCCCAATGGTGGAGTCTTGAGCAGCAAAATCGGCACATACGTCAGTCTGTGCCAGATTTTCGGTTCATTCGGCGATAGAAATAGAAACAATTAATTTCTCTGCCTCTTTTCGGCGCAGATATTGACCAATATAATCGGCTCCACCGTTAGTGAACCGGTCCCTCGGTCTCGGCTCCTGTGGCCTCCTCTTTGGCCGGAGTTATTGCGGTCTCCGTGCTTAAAAGCAGCTCTACTCCCAGACTTTGTTCCCTCTAGTTTATTTCCTGTTGACTTCTCAAAATTTGCGTGATCTCCCCTCATTTCTCTTCAATCTCCGCTCTTGTAACACCTGCACTAAGTGTTCCATAATGCCGTCTGCTACAAGCATCGCATCTTTCACGCGACAGTTCCGCGTCCTGGTCGTCGGGGGCTCATACGGTGGCTTGACCGCAGCCCTGACGTTGCTTGACCTATCTCGCGGTCGAGTAGCCCGTTTCAACTCGACTCCAGATGCGCAGCCGCCGCACAGACAGCTTCCCATCCAAATAACTGTCGTGGATGAACGTGACGGGTTCTGTAAGACTCACCACTGATCTGGCTCCCCCGAAGTCTCCGCGGCTCACATCGCTAATGTGTATTCCTTATTGTAGATCACTTAATTGGATCTCCTAGAGCCTTGGCATCTGAAAATTATGCATCGAAGACCTGGACAAAGTTCGAGGACATTCCGGCCTTGAGGTCCCCAGACATTCGATTCCTGCGCGGTAGTGTGAACTCCGTTGACTGCCAAAGCAAAGTGGCCCGTATCCTTGACGCCCACACCAAAGAAACACGAAAAGAGAAATACGACTACCTGATTGCTAGTTCAGGACTGCGACGTGTCTTCCCAACCGTACCCCAGTCTCTTCGCAGGGATGAGTTTGTGGAGGAAGCCAAGAAGCACGTAGATGACATCCACAATGCCCAGGATGGAATTGTGGTTATCGGAGGGGGTATGTAGCTTGACCTTCGTCGTCTACTAGGAACATTGTATGACTGACCGAGGACAAACATAGGCGCTGTTGGTGTTGAAATGGCAACTGAGCTCAGACTTCTTCATCCCAACCGCAACGTCACTTTGATCCACTCTCGTGATCGTGTACTCTCTGCAGAACCTTTGCCTGCTGAATTCCAGGAGCGTGTGGGATCCATTCTGCATGAAGCAGGCGTGAAGCTCATTTTTGGACAACGAGTCCTCGACATCACAGCTATCGAGACCGAGGGAGAGCGACGGCTCTGGAAACTTGAGCTGGCTGATGGAAGGACTATCTATGCAGGCCATGTCATGAACGCCGTTTCCAAATCTGTTCCCACAACGTCGTACCTACCAGAAGAGGCCCTAACTGAGGAAGGCTACGTCAAGATCCGCCCATCGTAGGTCCCCTGGAGAAGGATCACTGAAACAAAGCTAACCTTAGGTAGCACGCAATTCCCCAAGACCCTGCCGAACGCCGAATCCCATTTTGCCGTCGGTGATATGGTTTCCTGGTCAGGAATCAAACGTTGCGGGGCTGCAATGCATATGGGCTATCACGCAGCAGTCAATGCTCATCAGCTCATGCTGTCGGAGGATTCGAACTACAAGCCTGAGTTTATTAACCTCCAGGAGGTACCTCCCGTCATGGCGCTCTCCATGGGCAAGACAGCAGTCACATATACTCCGGATTCGGGAACGAAGGATGGAGAAGATGTCCATGACGTTATGTTCGGCGAGGATATGGGTTATAGCAGTGAGTGATTCTGGTTTCTCATCTATAATCATTGTCTAACATGATGCAGTTTGCTGGAACTATATGAGAATGTCTGAACCTTGTCAGGCATAATGCACCCACACATGACTCTTCACTTCAATCCGACAGATCGGGTATCTGTCGCCTTTTTGCGATTGAAAGTCTATTCAGACTTTTCGTCACTATCTCATACTGTTAGGCATACACAGTTTGCTGGCTAACTGGCACTGCCTAGTCGGCGGTTATTGTGGGACCGGGCTCTGGCGTTTGGACTTTGACTCTTTGGATATTCATGAATTGTCTGACATGACTCGTACTATAATTCGACCTGGGTATCCTTGAATAGAATGTAACTGTATATGAAACATCACGAAAGCTGTTGTATGTGTGGTGCGACGAAGATAGGTAAGGCTGTTGCAGACACAAGAGATGTAAGACCGTCAGAAGACCACAACGGGAAGGAGGGGGTCAGCTGATTTGCAGGTCCAGCCGGAAGACATGACCTTTTTATAGTCGTAGAACTTGATGACACCTAGTCATCCTCTAACTAGCGTCAAAGCCAACGAGCACAAAAGTACAAGTCAGACAAATCAAGGAGATACCACTGAAGACGGTACCATTGTTGGTATCGCTTTCGATTATTATACCCTTAGTCCACTTCACAATTCGAAGCCAGTCAAATGAGAACTAAGGAACGGAAGATTCATTATTATATATTTTATGGAACCCGCCACGTGAATAGAATCTAAAGTCCTACAAGACCAGGTTTCAGGCTTGAGCTTGAGCCTCTGCCAACGCCTGCTTCCTGGATTTGGACTGGAGGTCCAAGTACGGCGCTTCACCCAGACTGCAGACCCGGTCACCAGCCCGGGCTTCAGCGTAGTCATAAGTGGCGCAATGCCAGGTGGATCTGTTATCCCAGATGGCCATGTCATTCTTGTTCCACCTGAAGCGAACCTGCGCGTCGTGGTTTTGTGTGACGAGCTGTCGAACGTCAGTATACCAAATGCTGGCAAATAGGTTGTTTCTGACTCACATTGAAGAGATACTGCAGCAGCATATCGGACTCGTCCTTGGTTACCCCATTGATCCGTTTAGTGAATCCCTTGTTCACATACACGGACTTCCAACCGGTAACAGCTATAACCACATTAGCACTCTTATCTATTTTGGAGATGATGGTTGATACGCACGGTTAGTGCGAACGACAGGATGAACCGCCTTAAGGTCTTCACCCTGATTAAGTGGTGATCCTCGGATTCCCTTGCGTAGGGGATTTCCCAGCCTGCGTGCTTCGTCATGGAAGAAGCTAGCATCGTGTGTGGCTGTCAGACCCTCTAGGAAGGCAGCCATCTCAGGAGACAGGCGGTCGTATATCTCGTATCCCGAAGCCCAGAGAGTGTCTCCTCCGGTTTCGGGCAGAGTGTGGATCTTGAGCATGGCGTAGTCCGAAGGTACACGCTCGAAACTGATATCGGTATGCCATCCTACAGAGGCGAAGCGACTCGTATCGCTGAGCTGGTGGGTAAGACCGCCTCCTTTCTTCTGCTTTTCGCTGCTGATAACACTGATTTGATCACCGAGTTCGCTGCCTTCTTCCGTCAAGGGGTGAACATGGAGGCCAGATGATTCGGGCTGTAGAGGGATATATAAGCTGTATATTCCACTGACCATACCAGATATCGCCAGAATTACTTACGCAGCCAGCCAAAACAGTCAGCCTTTCGCCAAATTCTCTCATTTGCTGGGGTGTGACATCCTGGTCACGAAGGAAAACAACGCCTCTTTTCGAAACTGCCGATTGTCAGTATGTCATATTCCACGGAATTTCAGGAAGCGCAAAGCATACTTGTCACTGCGAGGTCTTTGATAATCTGGTCGGAGTTTTCCGCCTTGAGTATATCGGCCACCTGAAGTCCTTTGTATTCTCTACCGATGACTGGAGTCAAGTCTTGCTGGGTATATGAGTCCAACAATCCGGAGTATTGTAGGGGCTCTGAAAGCCGTGGACGGGACTCCTCGTGTCCTCCGCGGATTGTCGAGGCTGAGGCACTCTCGACGGCTGACGGCATGTTGATTTCTGAATTGACAGTGATCAATATGTTTGTCGCAAATGAAAGCGCTATCTTATGAAATTTAGGAGCAATTATTTCCGCGGCCTCCGACGGATTCACGGGTGACTATATACTAGCAGGTATACAGACTACACGAGGTCTCTGCGAGAATTACGACTGCTGCCGACGAATAATCTCCACTTTCGATAAGTGACGAGTATCGGGAACGCGAGAGAAGAGAATCATGGAAAGTCGATCGTTCCACTTCTACCCGACTGGCACACGAGTGAAATGATGCTATCTACTGCTTTTGTCATTTGTCGCATGTTCCAAACTGTTCTGCGACAACCCGACCCGGATTCCTAGCCGTCTGGTGACATGAATCATTTCCCCGCATGTAGCACGGTGAAAGGGTCTCGTCTTATCCCTGAGCGCCAGTCACAAGTCAACGGTGCTGTTATCGGCGGGGCATCGGCGAAATTTTCGGAGGAGGCTTGCATCCTGCCAGCTTGTGTCGCTTTAGTGCCGGCCGCTAAAATCGCCCTTTGACGAATGAACAGTGCTCTCATGAACGGGCCTGCCAGCTGCCTGTCCAGCTTCCCTGCGCATAGGCAAAACTGCTCTACGGTAACAACCATCAAAGTGCCAAATCTGGGGAAATACATATGTTATCCATAAGTGGAATAGTCCATCCCATTACCGAGCTGCAGCAAAAAGAGAAGCATCCGGGGAAGCGCATCGAGGATCTTCAGCAACTGTCTGCATTAACAAGATGGGTATGAAAACTTCAACTGGACCCATCTTATTCGAGGCGATTCTCCGAAGCAACTAAAGGGTCATTGGCTATGAAATTCAGGGTGCCGCTGGGGATATGGCCAGGCTGCGCACACCAGGGCGCCCTAGGCGATGATGTGCTCGGTGATCCGTCTTGTGCAATCCGGTTAGTCTCCTTCTGGCTCGAAGGTATCGATTCAGTCGTAAAATCACCCCCGATATGGTTGGTTGGAAGAATAACCACAATGTCTTCCGCCATCGCGAATCGTATTGGCACTGCAGCCATCTCCGTAGTATGTATACTCCATAGAACAAATCATGCCTTTTAAGGCATACACCATGAAATAAGTATATAAGTAGTTCATGGCATTTTCTCCCACGTTTCGCCTCTAGCCCTACCTGTGTCATTCCTCTGCTCTTCTCCACATCCCCATTATCCACATCCAGTGGTAAACAGTAACCATGCCCGACGACATTGAGCAGGGTTACAACAAGGGCACCATCAAAGCCCACGATGTACTCGAAGACTCCCAATCATCCAAAGCCTCAATCGAAGTAGGACAGGAGCATCTCGCAGGCGTCACTCCACCCCACGAATCCTTCGAAGGATACCACCGCTTCGATCCAACAGCAACATGGACACCCCAAGAAGAGAGGAAACTCGTCTTCAAAACAGACTTGATGCTTCTAAGCTGGATATGCTTTATGGTATACCCCCCTCATTCCTTTCCCCGATTCGCTTTTACTTCAGAAAACTAATGAAATAATAACCAGTTCTTCGGCCTCCAACTCGACCGCGGCAACCTCTCCAACGCACTCACAGACCACTTCCTAGCAGATCTAAACATGACCACAGATGACTATAACAACGTACACATCCCCATCCCCTTTCCTTATCACCATCTTACCTACAGACTAACCTTCTTTAAAATACAGGGCTCAACAATCCAACTCGTCTGCTTCCTGGCCGCAGAATTCCCCGTCCAGCTTCTAATCAAGCGATTCGGCTTCAAGCGCGTCCTGCCCGTCATGATGCTCGCTTGGAGTTTGGTTTCCTGGACGCAGGCGTGGATGACCAGTCGGGCGTCGTTCTACGTGACGAGAGCGCTTATTGGTGCGTTCGAGGGAGGGTTTATCCCTGGTACGATTCTGTTCGCGACGTATTTCTATAAGACGAAGGAGTTGTCGGTCAGACTGGCGTTCTTTTGGTCGACGTTGAATGTAAGTTTACCTCTTTACTGCGTGATGGTGTTGGAGATGGGGATAGAGATATGTGGAATTGAGCTAATATACGGTGCGTGATTCAGGTTGCTCGCATCGTTTCCTCCCTGCTGGCTGCTGGTATTCTGCAGATGCGCGGCGTCGAGGGAAAGTCGGGCTGGTTCTGGCTTTTTTTGATTGATGGGTTGCTTACGTTTGTTATTGGGTTGGTTGTATGTGGTTCTCTATCTCGAGGTATACAGAGAGGAGATATTTGCTAACAGCTAAACAGAGTCTCTTCTACCTTCCCAGTTCCCCAACGAATACCAAGAGTGTTCTGTTCCCCCGGCCGTGGTATTCTGAGCGCGAAGAGGTGATCATGATTAACGTAAGTGCTCATAAACCATAACTTTTTTAATTGAACGGAATCTGACTGACCCCAACAGCGCCTCCTCCGCGATGACCCCTCCAAAGGCCTAACGCACATCAACGAGCGCGCCACACTCCACGACATCTTTGAAGCATGGAAAGACCCCTCAATGTGGGGACTCTACTTTATCGGCCTAGTAGCCTATATCCCTCAAAGTCCCGTGCAGTCCTACCTCTCGCTCACCCTGACTCGTCTCGGCTTTGACACCTTCGACGCAAACATGCTGTCGATCCCGTCCGCCGCGTTACAAATCATTCTCATGCTTGCCGTTTCCAAAAGCAGTGATATCTTTGGCGAGCGGACGTTCCATTGCTTCTTCGGCGAGTTTTGGTCCCTGCCGCTGCTGGCAGCTTTGGTTGCGCTGCCGAATTATGGGTATAACTGGGCGCGGTTTGCCGTTTCGACGATGATTTCCGGGTATCCGTATTTTCATCCGATTGTGTCCGCCTGGATTTCCGAGAATACGTTCGATGTGAAGAAGAGAGCGATTACGGCGGCGACGTATAATGTGATTGTGCAGATTGGGTCCATCATTTCTTCGCGTGAGTGTTTTGGCCCGGTTGAGATATTGACAAGGTGACTGATTGTTGAACAGAGATCTATCGGACGAGTGATTCGCCGTATTATTACACTGGGAACAAGGTGCTGATTGCGCTGTGCGTGCTCTCGTTGGCGGTGTTTGTCGCCCAACGTGAATTCTTGCGGCATCTGAACAGACAAAAGGAGAGGAAATGGCAAGCCATGTCTCCCGAGGAACGGGTTTTGTACCAGTCTGACAGGGAAGAACGAGAAAAGGAAGGAAATAAGCGGCTAGACTTCCGCTTCAAATACTGATGAGACGAATGTATTTTAATCAGACATGTTGGTAATGATAATCTGGACTTGGTAATTGGTTCCTTGGGCATAATATGACTGAATTCGCTTTAAACAGCAAATGGGTATATTCAGAAAGGTGCTCATAGAATGATCGGGAATATTCTTTCTAAGAAAGCAGAAATCCTTCGCCGGACAAGACTGCATCTGGAAATTCATTGCTTAAAAAGTTGAGTTCAGGTGTGAACTGACCCTCCGGAATTTGCGAGATAAAGTCGTTTATCAGCATTTCAACGGAGCCAGAGGGTAGAGCAGGCGACAGCGAGGCGAAACTCATGGGTGTACTTCTCACACCCTCCATGGGTAGCGAGTATGGTAGCAAGTTGCCAAAAGAGGGGTCATAGACGCTTTGAGAAGACTCAAGTTGCGTAGGAAATGTCGACTCCGCAAACTCGGTGAATAGCATGTCTTCCAGTGGCTGAAGACCATTGTACCCACTCTGCGCATGGTGCTCGAGACTAAGACTATCTTGTATATGCCCTTGGCCCACAGACTGCACTGCAGGGAGCTGAGCCTCGGTGGCAGTAGACCAATTATTGAGCGGGCTGATGTCGTCAGCTATGGGACCTGCAGCTTCCATTGCAGTAGTAGCCCGTTTATGTGTTAGGTCCTCTCCACCTGACGCAGAAGTTGTAGTAGCTGCAGGTAGCATTTTACTTTTAACTGAGGGTTGTGGTTCTCTTATTGGAGGTGATAAAGCAGGACCGCTTCTAGCCTGAGCATCTGCCATCTTTCTATACAGTAACTCAGCTAGCTCCTTGTTCCCCCCACCTCTGAAAGTGGAGAGGATGGAGTGTAAGCGGGCTAAAATACTGCTGGGGCGGCTTTCGTTATCCCAAGAAGGCGCCCGTGGCAACATTGCGAGGTCTATTACGGCATCGGCGAGTGAGCTGGCAATTTCATAGAGTTTCAACTCCTGAAAATCTAATTAGTGGTAATTCCTCTGGGGCTGCTGAAAGTAACATACCATACCGAGCCCGTGGGCTTCGATGGCCGCTCGTGGTAGTTGCGATACTATGTTCAATAGCTCCTTTGCGACCAAGATTGGAAAGGATGGAGAAGTGGGCCAATAAGTAGAAGATCCATGAGCGCTTTTTTTGGACGAGAATTTCCACAAGATCATGCGCATCCAATGTCTGGTAACGCAAAGGTCTGCCTTCTGTACGTCTGAAATATGGTCCAATAAAGCTGATCCGTCCTGCAAATTATCTTGCAGTAGCCTGAGAAAACGGCTGTCTAGGTTAGGAACTTCGCTGGACAGTGGCTCAAAGCCTCCCTTATCATCCTCGATGATGTCAAACATTTTTGACTGTTCGAACAATCGGAACAGATTGAGCAGTTTCAGAAAGGCCGGCAGAACCTGGGGCTCATCATTCGCATCAAGCTCTGGGGTTGAGATATCTGTTTTCAAGACTACGGGGAGTTTGTGGAGTATGCAGACGCCGCTATGAGAACGTTAGGGACAACGACACAAAGCAAGAGCGGGTTCTTTACCGTTCGGTGACAAACAACAGCCATAGCACACGGCGACGCATTTGTTGCTCTTCCGAGGGAAGGCCAGCGTACGAGACTTCTCGATGCAGGCACATCATCTGGGCGAGAGTGATAGCCTCCCTCAAGTACAACAGTGATTCGCTGGCGCCCGATTGGTGGTTCTCGAAGTATACATGAAGGAAGAAGGCCGTCCGGACATTGTTCAAATTGAGCCTTGATCGGTAATCGCAGGATCTGCGGGCCTTCATACACTCCGCTGCAAATGTTTCCGCAGTCACCGACTTGTCAGGGAGAGAACTTTGCCCTAGCCTTAACTGAGCGATCGTTGCCGCTGCCACAGCAGTTGCCAATGCATATGTCTCGTGGTCATTCTCCTCAACATCCTGTTGCAAACTGGACATGACACTTTCGACATCGACGATCGGCCAGACTGGATACATTCGCACGTGGTATATATAAAGCGGGGATGCGAGGACATTGGTGGGTATGCGAGATCTGTGTCGCTCGAAGTGTTAGACGGTAACAAGCACAATAAAGTGGCTTTCTGGCTGCACGACGCGAGCATGATCATTAACACACCTTTCCGATTTTGCACCGCATTCTCGCTGTACCGGTGTCGAGGTATGGTCGGTCTCCAAAATCTCCCCGCTCTGAGGGATCGAGGGTAGAGCATCATGTACCTCGATACCGCGTTGAGCTTGGTCTATTAGGTACTTGGTAGTTGCGCGCAGCTTCTGAGGACCACGAGGTTGCTGGACCCGGATGTAGGTACACTTGATGCGTGCATTGAAGCAGGACCGACATGGCTGACCACCACCACAGCGAATCTTTCGAATCTTACAGCCGTCGCATGCTTTCTTCGTTATACTTGCTCTGGAAGACATCTTTGTGGTTGTCAAGTCGCAGGCGTAGCGCAAGTTACTTCGATTGAATGCATGACAAAGGAAACAGGACAGAGTTGCGAGAAAAGTTGAACGGCAATAGGCTGTCAGTTGAGCCGAAAATCAGCCAGTAGCGTAACGCTGCATATCCCCAATGATGCGAGGAGACGGTTAACCCGAGGTCATTGCGGGGCAAAGCCTACGCATTCGCTGAGTGGTGCAGCTTGAAGCGACGCCTGGTGCAAACGTGGCGTATCCGAGTCGTTCGACGGAGCAGTTCTGGGTGACTCCGCTGCGAAGGTGCTGTATTGCTTGACTTGTGATTTTTTTTTGTCCAGAAGGTGTTGCAATGATACGATGAGGATGTCTAATGATAGCGGGTGATTGCGCCTTCAACTCCACGCGGCACGCCATTATCGAGACCCACCTCGTGTGCCTGGACTGTCCATCACAGACATCAGGGGATGTTCGTCCTGAAAAGCATTGCCTTCTTAGATGCAGAGTCATAAAGCTGAATGTATAGCAAATAAACACGAGACGAAGCGGCAAAAAACAATTGCAGTGACGATCACAGGATGTTGAAGTGGTTTGCAGGAGATCGCATCTACTCCATTGGCGTCAAATATCCCACAAGAACCATGTTGACATCCCACCAGGTAATGGCGAAGCAATTGGTGATATTAAAAGTCACTCTTGGGCGACAATTGCGAAAGAACGTAGAAAGGATGATAGAATTGCAAGAGATCATGAAAATCTTTAGCAGCGGTGGATGGATGTACTTGTAGGAACTCGGTCGCCGCGGGCTGGACTATAAACGGCAGTCTGCCTGCTGTCACCTGACAAGCATACTATCTCAAATGGGATAATAATGACAGATTGCACTCGTTTACTCCAATTATCACTGCTAAGGCCTCTCCTCCACACTCATGGCTATTGCTATCTTCACATTGCAGCACTTCATTAGCAGTACATGGAAACCGGAGATAGACACTGAGCAGCCTTTCTCGGAACTGGCTAAGACCACTAGTGCCTATGCTAAAACATCCAGGCTAAAGCAGAGCCAGACCCTCCGAGTATTCCTCCGACGCCTTTGCTGGCCTCCGCATTTGCCCCTCCTTGACTTATTGCTCATCTGATTGGTCTTCACAAGCACGAGGACCCGGAGACTCTGTCAAGAACAGCTTTCATTCGATTCCAGTACAATGACCGCATCTGCCTGACCAATCGCGGCCAGATCGCGATGGCAGCTCCCCGGGCGCAACGCAATGGCTGTCGCAACCAAATAAATTGGTTCATGACCCCTCACAGATTGCAATGAATACGCTCTGACTTTTCATTCTATTCCCTATTTACGTTTCACTGGCTCTCAAGAAGATACTCTACATATAATCATGGCGTGGCCAAACAAGAACAAGGACATGCTCTACCGGCGAGTGGGCAATTCTGGTCTCCACGTCTCTGCACTTGGACTGGGAGGCTGGTTAACGTGAGTATCTGTTCATCTCAGAGAAGAGTTGAACATGGCTAATTCTTGACTATAGTTTTGGCGGTCATGTCGACAACGGTAAGAATCACTAAGTTTGCCTTAAGGCACACCAAAAGCTAACTCATTGCCCTAGAAATCACCTTCAACTGCATGAAGCAAGCTTACGACTTGGGAATCAACTTTTTCGACACAGCTGAGAGCTATGCGGGCGGACAATCAGAAATCGTCATGGGTCAAGCCATCAAGAAGTTTGGCTGGAAGCGCAGCGATCTCGTCATTAGCACCAAGGTACGTGCCGTTCTATGCGGCCAGAGTATACGCAAGCTAATCAGTCAACAGCTCAATTGGGGTCTGGCGAATGGCGAGATTCTAATCAATAACCACGGTCTATCCCGCAAACACATCATCGAAGGCACACGAGCATCTCTTGAGCGTCTACAGCTCGAATATGTCGACATCATATACGCCCACCGCCCCGACCGTCTAACACCCATGGAAGAGACAGTGAGAGCCTTCAACCATGTCATTGAGAAGGGATGGGCATTCTACTGGGGTACATCGGAATGGTCCGCGGACGAGATCAGCGAGGCTTGTGGTATTGCCAGAGCTTTGGGACTGATTGCGCCCATTGTCGAACAACCTCTGTACAACATGTTGGATCGGCAGAAGGTGGAAGGCCAGTACCAGCGACTGTACTCCCGCTGCGGCATTGGTTTGACCACCTTCTCACCATTGAAGATGGGTCTCCTCAGTGGCAAGTACAACGATGCGACGACGCAGCCTCCACCAGGATCTCGCTTCGCAGAGAGCAACGACAAGTTCGCAAGCAGCGTGCGCAGAGACTGGGAGAACGAGCAATGGGCTGGGAATATCAAGAAGATCGTTGGATTGAAGGTATGCTACTTCACTCAATCAATTAAGGCATATCGCTAACAAATTTCTAGGAGGTTGCGGACAAAATGGGCGTCAAACTGTCGCAATTGGCTCTGGCATGGTGTCTCAAGAACGAGAATGTCTCCGCTGTGATCACCGGCGCCTCTCGGCCAGAGCAGGTTGTTGACAATGTAGAGAGTCTGAAGTTACTCCCACGCCTGACACCGGAGATCATGGCCGAGATTGATGAGTATTTGCAGAACAAGCCAGACCAGGACCCAGCTAGACAGGATTAAGTAACTATCAATAATGTAGACATGACACGAGCACAGAACAAAAGCAAAATTACAAATCCCATTCAACCAACTCCTTACATAGAACCATAAGCACGTGTCCGCACCCCCTCTCACCTATTACATCACCCCCGCATTTCCTCCCTCCACCTTCCCCTCTCACCCATAGTACTCTTCACACCATCTATCCCCTTACCACTATTTATCACCAATACACACCAACAATGACCACCCTTAATGAATCCACACCCCCCAGCCCCCACCCCCAACCCAACACCCATACCAACACCGCACCTCTCTAACCACCATCAACAAGAAAAGAAACCCCCCCTCCTCACCCTGCCGCCCGAACTCCACCTCCAAATAACCTCCCACCTCCCCCTCCTCCCAGACATCTACTCCCTTCAAGCAACCTGCACCTACTTCTACACTCTCATCCCACAACCCAGCCACTCGGCCCTCCTCGCAGCCGAAACCACCGACTACGCCATCGCCCATGACCTCTACACCTGCCGATACTGTCTGCGACTACGTCCAGGCTCTGTCTTCGCGGACCGGATGCTCCGGCGCGGAAGAGGTCGGTACGGACGGGACAGGGCGAAGAGGTTCTGTGTTGATTGCGGGGTTCTGCCGAGGGGGGAGGGCGAGGGAGAGGAGGCGAGGTATGGAGCTGGGGCGTTGGTGAGGGTGGAAGGCGAGCTGAGGGTGTTTTGTGGTGGTTGTGGTGGGTTGAGGAGGGTGGGGATGGTCTTGGGGGTTGCGGGTGGTGTTGGTGGTGGGGGGAAGAGGGAGAGGGTTGTTTGTGAGGGGTGTTGGGGGGTGGCGGGGTGGATTTGATAGTTTTATAAGATGGTGTTGAGTTGTGATACCCATTTGATGTTTATTTATTGCTTTTGTGCTGGGGTGGGTGGGCTTGAAAAGGGGATAGGGAAGAGGGAGGTAAGTGCGTGATATGCTTTAGTTAAGAACATGATTGAACAGGCATACCAACGCAGACTGACAGGACACAAAGTTTCAATTATAGGAAACCATTCAACGAGCCGGCGATCTCAATGTCCCCCTCTTCTTCGTTGTCTTCATTGTCGTCATCACCCCGTGCATCAAAGTCGAAGTAAAAGTCCGCGTGCTCGTCAGAGATGTCACACTCGGTCAAGATCATGGTACTGGTTTGGTCCAAGCAGGTCCATGATCTACCAATGCCCTTTGCTATGGCTTGTTGGTCTTGCGGGTTCACCTCCGCCAAGTACCGAAGGCCGTAGGAGACTTTGTATCCGTCGTGATCACTGTTAGAAGACTCAGCAGGGCTGGATGGGGATACCGTATCTTCTGCGGGAGTAAATCGCTCGACGACCATCCCATGTTTATAATGTGTCACGTATACATCGTGAACGGTTCCTGTGGTGGGTGCTTTTAGCCCTTTGATAAGGTATTTTTCAAGTACTCCCATGTCGCTAGCCTTGAAAGTGTCGAATGCCGATATACTCCGAACTTTAGCATAGCGAATACCACGCATCTTCAATGCACCGATCATCAAATCCCGAATCGTCACCTCACGATACTCTTTCACAGAGGTAGATGTAGATGTAGATATAGCCGAACAACCAACATAATCCTCCGCTGCCGCAAACAGAACAGCAAGAATACACGCCATCATAACCGCCAACCCGTAGCAGCTGCCAACATGTAGAATATTGCAGATGCATTCAGTTAACACAGCCGTGGCCATAATGTAGGTGAGTCTGCAGACACATCAGTCAACCAATCAATTCGAGGTGCTGGAGATCCCACTTATTATGACTGCGTCCCATCGCACAAACAACCCTACCAATCGTCTTAGAGAGACGATCTTCTGCACACTCATCACGCACCAACGAATCATCAAATTGCTTCAACGTCCGAGCAAACTCATAATCATGTCCCCATGCATGAACCGTGATCTCCCCATTCAGGACTTCTCCATCTGTAGTGATCGAGTACATCTGGGCTGCTTCGTAAGCTGCGAGCAATAGGAGTATAGGTTTGAGCATCTTGGCGGTTGTATTGTCATCCACACTATCTTCCAAGGATTGTGATGTGCTTAGGGGACGAATAATGTAAGTATATCCAAAGCTCGTCAGGTGATGATAAGATTATGACATACCCCGAACACAAAGCGCACACAACAGAACAAATACTGCTCAAAAACCCAACAGTTTTACTCAGACACTCAAAACCCATATCGACGGTATCCAGCTGCTGCTGCAAAATGCTACGCGCAGTTTCGCGCGACACGCGAGCATCATATTTTGATAACAGGGCTGTGACTTGCGGAGTGAATTCTGTGAAAGGTTGTGCGCCGCTATTACTACTGATGAGTTTATTCACGATCGGGGGGCTTGAGCGGCGGTCACGTGGATATGATCCTGGGATTTTGATCATGGAGTCCATGGTTGGGGATTGGGTTGGGTGTTGAGGTGAAGGAGGGGGATGGGTTGGGCTGTGCATTATGGAGGGGGGATACTATTTGTGTTGGGTGGATGCATTGGGTTTGTTTGATTGTTGGTTTGGTTTGATTTGGGTTTGGTTTGCTATGTAGATTGTAGGGGTGGTAGTGAATGGTAGAGTGGTGTGGTGTGTTGGGTATAGTTCTCAGTATGGAGTAGGGCTTTGGTATTAGTGATAGAGATACATGTTGGTAGTACTAGGGATGAGATAGGTAGTATACAGATTATATTAGAGAGGGTCCTTTGTCGGGGATATTGTAATGGAGAGGCACTCTTGCTAGACCTAGACCAGACTTGAGATCGAATGATGCTAATCACAGCTCATACAGAGCATCAACGCTAAGAAGCGAAGATACTTCGATAGCATGCAGTGAGTGCAAGATCAACACTGTCAATAAGCCCTCGCGTCATATATACACTAGACTCATGGCACAATCTTCAACGCCTACCTGAAGACCATAACTAAGATATACAGACAACCAAGAGCAGAGGCACTGATAGCCCTGAAAGAAGACTGCCGTCCACATCAGATGACTAACCCAGGGGCAGGAATCCAGATCCAAGCAACCTTAAGTGCAGATATACCAATCAGACCGGATCAACCACACTTAGCTCTAATGACGCCATATCGTAAACAAATCACCAATATAAACTTTTAGTAGATATCAACACATATTAGTATTAAAGATTTAAATCTACATACTTGGTACTTCACAGTATCTACAAAATCTCCCTTGCTGACCCCACAGCAAACCCGGCATTTCCCTGCAAAAGCAAGCCACTCGGAGGTGTGCTGACAGGCCAATCAATCCTTCCCAGAAATAGTTCATTTATCAGCAAAGCAAAAAGCAATACACTATAAAACACAGTAAGCATCAAGCATATCCCGGTTTTACAAATATAACCTCAAACTGAATCAGAGTAGTAGTAGTACTTTCCATCACATTCCATCAGAGTGTATGATCGTCCACCGCCATTCCGCTGATTTGTCATCTCAGCTTCAAGTTTAGGAATCAACCCCTCTCTCTCCACTCCGCCTTGATCCGATCTATATTCTCCTAAACATATTTATAACCCAAGGATTGCCCACAGCTTGCTTGATTGCTTGCTTGCTTCATCATACCAAACCAGAACAAACTTCCTCAATCTCCAAACAATACTATACACCAATTTCACAAACCGCCAAAATGTCCTTCGGAACCATCTACACCTACCCCAACAACCCCCGGGTCATGAAGGTACCCTCCCTCCCACTATATCCCCCCCATCTACCACCCAAACTAACCACCAACTTAACTGAACTAGACCCAAGCGGCCGCCAACTTCAACAACCTGACCCTCACCCTGGCTGATTTCAAGATGGGCGAAACAAACCGCGACCCGACCTTCCTCAGCAAGTTCCCCATGGGCAAGGTTCCCGCCTTCGAAGGCGCAGACGGCACCCTCCTGGCCGAATCTGACGCCATCACGCAGTTCGTGGCCGAGAGCGGTCCCGCAGCGGGTCAATTGGTCGGCAGCACGCCCGCCGAACGGGCGCTGATCCGTCAGTGGATCTGCTTCGCGGACGGAGAGGTGCAGAGCGCGGTGATCTCGTTGGTGCTGTGGCGGCTCGGGTACAAGGCGTATGATGAGGCGACGGAGAAGAGTGGGCTGGAGAAGTTGACCCGGGCGTTGGGAGCTTTGGAGAATCGGTTGAAGGGGAGGACTTGGGTGGCTACGGAGAAGTTGAGCTTGGCGGATATTAGTCTGGCCGCGGCGTTGTATTGGGGATTCTCGGTGAGTATTGATGCCGAGATGAGGAAGGATTATCCCGTTGTGGTGGCTTGGTATGAGCGGGTTCTTGAGAGTGAGCATGTTAAGGAGGCGTTTGGACCTAAGGTCTTCGTGGAGAAGAGGAAGGAGCCTGAGAACTAAGTCAGAGAGATGCATGGATTGGGGCCGGTCCGCGATCATGATTTATGACTTATTAGGAAAAGCAATACAAATTGACTGTGATCAATTGAAGTAATAATGTATTGGTTCTCTGCTAGCGATATATACCATTATGGGTCCAGCCACAACCAGCAGCCCTGCTATGAATGTGTCTGGTATGAATGTATGGACAAGGGACAGGTAGGGCTTGCTGCACGAGCAGTATGATTCATTTACAGACGAGCATGGAAGTTCTGATCGCCTCTCCGCATCGATCGGGCCAGGTTACGACTAGCCCGGTCGGCAATGGCCATGTTGGTGAGCATAGGGTTGACGCCACTGGCGCTGGGGAAGACGGACGCATCCACCACATACAGACCCCGGGTGCCCCAGACTTGACAGTCCGAGTCCACCACACTGGTCCTTGGTGATTTGCCCATTCGACACGTCCCCATCTGATGCGCACTGGCAAACATGGTCCGCTCCGGATCAAGGGGTTTCTTGCGACGCACTTCCGCGATCCAAGCTTGAAGTGCTGCATTATTGGCACCTTCTGCATCCTCGGCATCGGATTCCACCGGGCGGATGAACGGGGGCACTTCACGCCATGAAGTGTGGAATTCCTTTGCGCCCGAAACATATGCCATCTTTGCACTGGCGATTATACCTTCGACAATGTGCTTACGATCCGTGGGTGAAACAGCATAGTCAATGCGAATTCGTCCATCACCCGGGTCGGGATAAACCCGCCCAGTGCCTCGATCGCGCGCAAGCATGATCAGACCGGCCATGCGAGGCAACTTCTGCACCCAGAGCTTATAGTCGAGACCATTGCGCCAGGGGAATAGAGGGAGAAAAGCCGCGGGCACCATTGACAAGGCCTCGATCTTAACTCCATGACCTTGGTTATCTAGGTTCTCGAGCTCATTGACGACGGTGGTCAGCGCAGCGCCTTCCCAAGGGCGGAACTCCTCATCTAGCACTGCACCCGCGATGGCAACTGTGGATAACGTTAGCAATGGCATTCCCTTCCCGCGGGGAGCATCTTACCAGGATGGAGGTGGAGATTCCGGCCAATCTGGGGATTCTTCAGTCCACTGCGTAGAAGCAGCAATGGGCTTTGCAGAGTGCCGCAAGAGACGACAACCCGTTTCGCCTTAATGATGACATTTCGCGTAACTGCAGTTGCACCTGAACGACCTAGGTATGCATCCCTAGATGTCCACACTCCCTCAACCCCCGACGCTACCTGGCCATCTTTAGTGTCAGTGAACAGGATTTTGTTTGCACGGAAGCCTTCAATGAAGGTTGCGCCAGCTGTCGCGGCATCTGCCAGGAAAGTTTCCGTGGGGCCCTTCTTCCCCGTGGAATGGCAGCCGAGCGTACAGTAGCCACAATAATGCTCAGTGTGGCCCGTATTCTGTGGCACGGTCTTCGCAGCGTAGCCCAATCTTCGAGCTCCTTCGAGGATAAAGCGGTTTGTCTTGTTGTGCTTTATATGCTCAACGTCGACCCCCATCCGTTCCGAAACACGGTCCAGACAGTTCTGAAACTCCATCGAGGTAAAGAAAGGCAGGCCGTTCTTCGCCCATTCCTCGCGTACGAATCCCTGGGTCTGCAGGGCAGCGGACCAGTTGACCGTGCCACCCCCACCCCAGGTTGAACCGGCCAGAACAGCCATCGAGCCATCATCGGTCACGACGGCACCCCCTGATTCGAACATGCTATTGAAGGCCTCGTTGAAGTTCATGGGAAAGTGGTTGGACGTGTAGTGATAGGATTTGTCCAACACTAGTACTTTGTGGCCTGCCTCGGCCAGGTTCTTTGCAGCCACGCTACCACCACAACCACTACCAACGATGACGACGTCAGTCTCAATGGTCTCCGGCTCATCTGCGGCGGGAAATTGGAGGAAGGTGTGCTTGAAACCATCGGCAGGCTTGCCGTGCACTGGCACTCTGGGGAAGCCAAGTACAGGAGCAAGAGTGGGGCTGAACTTGACCCAAGTTTGCTTGAACATGCCCGTGCAAGCCCTGTAGACACCGCGCAGCGGACTCAGCCGAGAAGTCTCCCATCCGCGGAAGATCTCTTCCCGAACGTGTAACGGTTGTTCGTGGATCGGAGTTACAGATCCTGTCAGGAGAAGCGATCCCGCCCGGGTACTATTCTCATGTCAGCTTTGACTGGTACGGCCACGTCTGAGAATTGATACGCACTTGAGAGCATTGAGGATAAACCCTAGGCCATTTCTCCCTTCGTCGTGCACATACTGCGCGAATAGGCGCTGCAAGCCTTCTCGAAACAGAGGGTTTGACGACGCGTCTTCCTCTAGGTACTGTGCTGCAATGGTGCCAGCGTCCGGAGAGTGAATTGATTTAGTCAATGTCGCCAGAGACTTGTTCAGCTCGGAGTGCGGGATGACCTTGGTCGAGGCTGATTTATATGCAGTCGGACTCCGGATCGAAGGAATGACCGTGTCAGCCAACGATAGAAGAGTGGTCCATTGTTCCTCTGTGAAGATCTTAGTGGTTGGGACTGGAGGCAGAGGTACGTCCAGAGGAACATAGTGAGAGGCTGGTTCCGCCATGGTGTGCGTGTCCACCTGCTAGGATAGCAATATATGTATAGAAAGTACTCGGTAGTATCGAAAAGATGAATGGATGAATTAAGAATGACCAGAAACCATGTTCAGAGGAACCGGAGTGGAGCAGAGATGATGGTCCACGGCGGCTGCTAATGAATTCGGCGCCTTCAAATAGCGGAGGAAGACGAGGCGTGTGAGCTGAGCAGCCAACCACCCAAGCGTCGATTACAATCCCAGAGAAGTAATGCTTGCGAGAGTGAGGGGAGGCCAAGTGACTAAAATCTAGTGGTGCTGCCACTCGGGAAAGGGCGATCGATGAGAGCTAAATGCTAAATGCGCCAGGCACGCCAGAAGCGTTCTCCCAACTCGGTGAGAACACGGGGTGGTTCCCCATATTTTTGGCGATATTTGGCGATGTGACGATCAGCGCACGGCACCCGAGGCACATCAAAAAAAAAGGGAGACCTGAACTGGAGAGCAGTGGGGCCATCCGAAAGTCTATATGAGTAGAATACTAGAATCAGGAGCCATCAGAAGAATGTTGAAGCTGCTAAGTCCTTGCTGGTTGGTTGGTTGTTCGGGGTTGGCTAATGGGGATGTTGCGGATCCGCCGAGGGAAAAAGAAAAGCCCTTCTTTGGGTGCGGGGAATGTACTTTAGACACTTACACCCATTTGCCATGTGAATCTTGCATGCCAATGTCAAGCTTGATTGTCCTTAATACTTTGTACCCTCGACTCACTCAACTAACAGTACCCCTTTCACTCTACTGCAATTGCAATTGAAGCGTCACCATGTCGTGAGGGGAGTAAGTTCAATCATACAATCGATACGGTTCCGATGGCATATGTCCCGCCGGTACATCCAACGGGTGGCTTGCGAGGACAAGGCGCTGCACTTCAATCATGATTGATCCAGTCTTCCTGCTGCTCTGATATCCGCTGAATCAAACTCCAATATAACCCTGGTCCAACAAACCTGACCTCACGGCGAGGAGAACAGAAGCCAAAGTTAACCGCTGTGCGTGACAATCCCATCCCCCGGAATGCGCGCGCCGAACCTCCGAGCGCGTAACTCTGGCTGATTCCGCTGCCAGACATCCCAGGGCTGTTGTTGGTTCACGATGTGATTCAACTGGTCTTCTCGCCAGCTCACGGTTGAGATTTTTTGCATATAACTGTCGTCTTTCTCCTCTTGAGCTGGACTGAACTCATCGACTTCTCTTGTCCAGAGCTGATCCGAAAGGGAGCAGTCGACTGTGTGGACAACGTCCTCAAATTGTGACTTCGTGGTTCTATTTTCTTATATTTTTACTATACTTCTTTGGAGAGGCCAGACTATTGTCCCGCACACGTCCCGGGGAAGCTACTTTCATTTCCGACCGTGCATTGTGGAGTGAGGGACCCTTGCAGGCCCAGTCATACCGCAGTACGTGCCGTGCATTCCATCTTGAGCATCACCACATGCGTGGGCTTGAACACGTCTGATTCAATCCAACAAGGCCTTCCACTGCGGAACATCATTACACAATCCACAATGTCGAGTGAAGTTGGCCGACCGACACTAAGCCAATCTCCCAGTAATGGGGAGCCCAAATGCACCCTTCCTTTGGAGAAGGTGTTCTCCATTCAGATAGGAACTGAGCTCTTCCGCCTCTCGGGAGCTTCAATTGCTTCCGATGGTCAGTCGACCCGAACCAGTCGCCCTCATGCTGTTCCTTGCTAAACTTGTGAAGCCCCGTCATACTTTTCCCGCTTCTTCGAGGAGCAGCTTCGCCTGAATGGAGATATCTCCAACGTCAGGACCCTGTATATCGACCGGGATCCCACCACATTCAAGGAAATAGCCAGGCATCTGCAAGGTAAATAGCGCGTATCGCAGAAAGCAGCATCTCAACTAACTGTCGGCGACCAGGCTACCATATACAGCCCAAAGATGGGCCGCAGTTCGTCAAGTTCTTCGCGGATGCCCAATTCTATAGCCGTAGGAGACCCGTCCCCAACATCATTGAGAAAGCAAGTACTGACACCACCAGTTCCTCGATTGATCTCCCAACTATTCGAGTCGGAGATCTTCGTCAGAATTGGCGGCCACAACTTCCAGATTCCTCGCGATATCTTCTCTAGCCCAGGAGATTCGCCAAATTTCTTTACGTTGGGATTTGCCGCCTTCTTCGCCTCGCCACTGGAAGTATTTCCCGGGCTGGACCGTCACGGTCTCCTGCGACCTCCAGCAATCACCCCACCCAGCGTCCCCAGCCGCTCGGGCGAGGTCTTTGCGCAGCTCCTCCATCTCCTTCGCGGATATCCTCTGGATATTCGAAACGAAGCACATCGTGCAGAGCTCCTGCGGGATTGCCGCTACTTCCATCTGCGCGGTCTAGAGCAGCAGCTCATCCCGCACCATATCAGCTTCAACCCCATCCGCAAGCGGGATGAGATTGTCATTCGACTCGAGGACGTCCGTCGGTCGGGCATCGACGTAGAAGACATCGCTCTTCCTCCCGGCCACACTCAGGCCGACACCATGTCGGCAGCCCTGGTTACTTACTCTCGCCCGTTTGTCGATGATAAGAAGTACGATCTGATCCTCGAGATAGGAGACGATAGCACCATCCTCGACATCACCAGCAGACGTCCCACCTTTCTGGGCACCACGAAAGCCCGCGTGAGCAGCCTTCTGCAGGTGATAGCGGGGAAGAAAGGCGACCAGAACCGCCCAGCGGGCCAAAAAGAGAGTGCACCGGAAGACCGTCTGTGGGCCTCTCTCTCAATGGATACCGACATGACCGTCGACGGGGAAAAGGAGTACTTCCCCGACATTCTCCGGGACAGCATGTCCGGCTCGGAGAGTCTGTCAGAGGAGCCGTCGAGGAAGCGCAAGCGCGTTGAAGAGGCGTCCATTAATCGTCCGTGGATTGTCCGCAACGGACAGTGGCGGCTGTGCATGCAACCGAGGGCCAAGGGAGATGGCATGGATATCGTCATGATTGCGGTGAAGTTGGAGGTGTATACGTTGCAGCGGACGCGGAATAAGCAGAGGAAGTTCCTCTCCTCTTGATCGTTCTATACCTATACATGACTTGCTCTTATACTGTACATGTCCCGTTTTACTTTTACTTTATGATAGACCCATGAACTCAATCCGAGAATCCCTCCCACTCGTCTTCCCCTTCTTCATCCTCTTCCACCTTCTCGTCCACCTTATTCTGACCCTCCTTACTCTCCCCGTCTACATCACCATCCCTCACAAACCCAGCAACAAAGAACCCCCCAGTCCCCTCTTCATCCCCAGGCCAACACCGCAAACACCCCTCCAACTCCTCATCCGACAGTGTCACCTCAACCCCTTCACCACCAGTAGCAGCACCGCCCTCAACCACCCTCTCCTCCCTAACCCCCCTATGCACCCACTTCTTCATCCCGACAGGCTGCTCATCCCTCCTAAGAACCCTCCATCCACGCGTCTTCGCCACCTCCGAGGCCAAAATTCTCGAAACCACCGCCTCATTCTCCAACAAATGGATCGAGCACGTACTATACGTCACCCTCGTCGCGGCAGGGAAACTCAGCGCGTGCTCTACAATCCGCGTCTGCAGATTCGATAGCTTGATGAGGCGCTCCTCCGTCATTCCGGTTACTGGGACGTCGTTTTCGTCTGTTGCCGAGGGGGATTCTGTCGTCGTGGTGGTGGGGGGTTTCTTTCCTTCGCGGCTGTCGTCCTCGTCGTTGGCGCGACGCTTGCGCTTTTTTCCTGTTGAAGAAGAGGTAGTGGTAGACTCAGGGAGTGTAAGCTTAGGCACGTCGTCGCGACCGATGATCCCACTTCCGGAGCAGCTCGGGTCGAGGAGCAGGCCCGAGACGTTCTCGAAGCGGGGATCAGTTGGATCCAGGGCGAGGAAATCCTGTCCTGGGAGGACGGTCACCATGGTGTCTGCGCCGGCGGTGGAGACCATCTTCTGGAGAGTCTTTGCTCGGATGGGCGATTGATCCATGGAGAAGATGTGGTAGGTCCCAGTCCCCTTTTTATGTTTGTGTTGCTGCTTCGCCAACAACGAGGCCATATGCGTCGTCTTATTCCCCGGCGCGGCACACCCATCCAACAATCCACCACCATCATCCCACCCCTCATCCTCATCCCCAACAAGCAAATACGCAGGAAAGCAACTCGCCTTATCCTGCAGGATAATCTCCCCGTTCTTGTACGCCGGCGACGACGTAAACTCCGCTCCTGGCGCAACGGCAATAAGATCCGGGACATGAGGATCGAGAACCATTCTCTTAGGGAGGGTAAGCTCCGCTAGTGAGGAGACCTGTTCGTAGCCTGCGAACGTGGTGGAGAGCTGTTTCTCCAGCGTCGTGCGGATGTTGTTTACTCGTACCCAGCGCGGGTAGATTGCCGTGGATATGCCTGCTGCGCCCTGCAGAGCGAGCTTCTCCCTCGCGATGGCATCTTTCAACGCCGGGATCGTGGCGCATCCGCGTCGCACTCGCGCTTTGGTGAATTCGCCGCGGAGACGGGTCTTGTGTCGCTCGATGATTTGGCGCAGGGGGTGGGTGGATTTGGCGGCCAGGCCGGATTTGGCTAGGAGGAGGTCGTGGACGAGGAGGAGGGAGAGGAGGGGAGTTAACTGTGTTCAATTGGGCTTGGTTAGTTAGTATTCTCTGGATTGGATTGCTTCGTGGGTGTGTTGAGCAGGCAGGCAGGCAGGCAGGCATGGCTGGTATGTGTGTATGTGTGGAGGTGTGTGTATGTACCTTCGGTTCAAGCTTGAGTATCCCCGCTGCTTCTATTACTTCCTTGAGGAGAATATCCCATTTCGAGGCTTCAATGATGAGGGCGTAGATTTGCGCCGGAGCGGATTTGATGTTGCGGGCGTTGTAGATGCGGGATTTGAAGGAGCCACCGGTGGTGGAGGGGGCCGTGAGGATCGATACGGCGTCGTAGTAGAGGGACATGATGGGAGAGAAGTGGTGGTTATTGCATGGTAGAGTTGTGGAGATTGTGAGTTGCGATAATTGCGATGCGATGGAAAAGGAAAACTTGATGTTTGCATTGTTTGGTTGGGTTATCGGAGGAGATAAAAACTAAGTATACATTCAGATCAAGTAACCAAATACCAAACAAATGACCTTTATAAAAAATATTTAACCTATCTCATCGCTAAGACTAGATAGATGGGACAGGAAGTAAGTAATCTGGCAAACATACCCAACCCTATCACATCCGACCTAATGACTCACCCACCACCAAACACGAGGCACATAAATAGTTGGAATAGGCCTTATCTCCGCATCTCCGTCCGATCTATACTTAAACCCGCATATCCCCCATCCCACACAATTCCCTCCACCTAGGCACCTACAATCTCACCGACTCCCTCCACACCTCCCTAAAACACCACCTCTACATCCTGAAACACAATGTCTACAACCAGCAAACAACCAACATTCACAACAACCCTCATCCCACCCCCGGGTCCCTCCTCAAACCCACCACTCACCGTCCACCCACCAACAACCACCCTCGCAACCCCCACGGACCCCCTAACCACGGCCCTCCTGATCCGCCGGGACGTCTTCGTCCATGAACAGAACTGCACGCCGGACGGTGAAATCGACTCGGACGATCCGCGCAGCTGGCAATGGGTAGTCTACGCACAGCACCAAGACACTGAAACCACCACCCCCACGCCCGTGGCCGTTATCCGTCTTGTCCCACCACCCCACGCACCGCACGAGATCCTCACGCACCCTGAAACAGCGTCAAGTCTCCCTAAATGGGATCTGAGAAGCGAGCCGTATGTGAAACTGACTAGGGTGGCGGTGGTTAAGGAGTGGAGGGGGTACGGACTGGGACGGGTGCTGGTGGATGAGGCGCTGAAGTGGGCGGCGCAGAACCCCGGGGAGATTCAACGGGCGTTTAGGGATGTTGCTGGGGTCGAGGGGGAGTGGAAGGGGTTGGTGTTGGTGCATGCGCAGGTGCAGGTGGAGGGGATGTATAAGAGGTTGGGGTTTGAGACGGATGAGGCGTTGGGGAGGTGGGATGAGGAGGGGATTGAGCATGTGGGGATGTGGAGGAGAGTGTCTGTTGGGTCTTCTTAGATTTGGGGAGTCGTGTGTATATAGTGTATGTATTGAAGGGATGTTAAGAGGTTAGATCTACATGTGGGTATACAGCTACGTGGATAGAGGGTTGGTTGGTTGGTTGGTTGTTGAATAAGTCTATTGCATATCATGATGATGTCAAACTCCACAGCTCATAAAGTAAACTTCACACCGAAGCGAAAAACAAGGAACCAACAAAGAGATCGCCGCGCATAAGCAACCATGACGGGGTATCCTGAGTAGTAAAAGGAGAACAAGATTAAGAAAAGAAGCCCCCCGCATCTCTGTCGACGATCTGTCGCAGCTCACAAATAAAGAAAAAATCAAACGCCCGTAAAGCCCATTAGCCATTAATCCGCAATTCATCCGAGCAAACTCCAAGCAATGACCGAAACCGTTGAAAGCAAACCCACACGGTGTAAAACAGAAGCGAAAAGCGACAAAAAGTATGTTCTAAAACAGGTATGTATGAAGTGAAGTTGCTTCCCAATGTCGTAGTGTCAATGGACATGGGTGGTATGGACATGTTGTTCATCAGCCGTAGTTGTCGTAATAGTTTAGAAAGTGCTCCAGTTCCAGCCACGAGGGACGCTGGCGGCGATCTCGGTGCTCTGGGCCAACACTCCGGTCAGGGCAGGCTTCGCATTCTCGTCCGGCGAGATATCCGAGCGGTCGGAGGCGGTATTGTATTCTTCATTGTCACTGTCGGAGGCTCTGCTTTGAGCATCGAGCAGGCTCTGGATCTTGCTCAGGCGCTCGGTACGAGACTCCTCCCAGCGCTGGTAGGCGCTCCAGCAGAGGTCGCATGCGCGGGAGGGTACTCCATCGGGGTGGAAGCGAGCATTCTGATCAAGCGGGACGACATGAGGAGTGTGGGAGGAGCAGAAGACATGGCCGCAATGGCGACAGTGGTGGCGACGAAGAAAGAGACCGAAAGAGGAGCGGCAGGTAGGAGAGTCGCAGTTGGGGGAAGCAGAGTCCGCCTGTTGGGAGGTTTTGTTAGCACAAGGTCATTTTTGCTTATTTGCAAGGGGGTTTGTTGCAAGGCTGCCTGGATGTCGTCATGGCGATCACGCGATATCGCGCAACGCAATTATGGCGCGACCCGGAGCTCGGCTTGCGCCATGACAACACTATATAGTAGACGCGTCCACCCAGGGGCAAAGGGACTGAAGAAGTTGGTTTCACTTACTTTCCAGTGATCACGAGTGGGAAGACCAGTGACCTCACCCAGGTGCTCATTCTTCATCCATTCATCCTCTGCCAGCTTGCTGACAGCAGGACCGCTATTGTAGCTCTCCATGGTCGAACGACGAGTAACAGGTGCACCAACTTCGCCCTCGTTCAGGCTGTCGAGAGAACCGTGAGAACCGTGAACGCTGCGGGGAGGAGTCGGGGGAGAAGAGGCCTTCTGGGGACGCTCAGTCGGGCGCAGGGCAGCAGGAACGTAGAGAGGGCCCTTGAGAGGACGAAGTTGCTTCGACTGAAGCGGCAAGTGCTGATAGCGAGGAGAGGTAGGAGAGTTATTTGCGGGAGAGGTCTCGGCCGAGTTGACAGGAGAGGGATGGCCGTAGACGGAGATTTGCTTGCCAGTGAAAGCAGGGGCAGTAGTAGTCGCAGTCACAACGTGGGTAGCCATTTGAGATGATATCAGGTGTTGAAATATTGAGAAAGAATTTGGGTAGAAGGTGGAGGAGATGGTTATCAAGTGTTGGTAGAGTGGAGAGTAGTTGAGAGGATGGAAGTCAAAAGTGGAAGATAAGGTGACAGTAGACCAAGTACTAATAGCAGCGGATGTTGAGGGAATTATGAATTATCGCTTTCAGTAAGGTGTCGAGTGAATCGATGGGTTATGATGCCAACAGTAACCAGAGAGGATTAGATCAGTTAATGGCCATTGACAGAGTAGCTGGACGGAACCAGAAGCGCATCGCAGTGGCAAGCGGGAGAGTGGTGGGATAAAGTTCGCGATGACGCTGGGATCTGGAGATAGGCGATATAGAGAGGATCGATCCAGGGAATCGGGTTGCAGCACAAGCAAACCGCGTGGGGGGTGGAGTTGAAGTAAGTGAGTTAATAGTGAGATGATAAAATAGTTAAGTAGTGGGTGGGTGGTACTCGAAACGAATCGGGACGAGTGAAGGGGAAGGGGGAGAAGCAGGTGATAATGGTGGGCGATGAAGGGCTACTAATAAGAGAGCGAGACTCTACTCCTACAGGACACTCCCAGCAGGAATGAATGAATTATTAAGTGGCATCCGCCGGACGGGGATGGGGGGGTGGGTGGAAAATGGGAAATGGGCAATAGGGAATGGGCGATTTTTTGCCATGCATTGTGGAGATGCGCTAGTGGATGGAGACCCCGATGATAATAATAATTATCATCATCCTTGAACACGCTAAATTAACCCGACGAGCAGCGCAGTCTCGTCTGCTTGGACTCGATAGGTAGTTCCGACGGCGGCTTAGGTTGAGGCTAGAAAGTCCCGAAGAAAGGCAGGGAGTGGAGCCGTTGGAGGATCGGAGGCGACCTTACACTCCCAGAAAGTTACGCTTGATCGTGACGATAACTGACTGAAGTTACTTTCCCTACCCTACACTGTAAGTAACAAAGGGGGAATATTATTACTCGACTTTTACTGGATGTATCTACGACGACTTGAATGTTACTTTACTTTTTGGGATCTTATTTGCTTCTTCGGATAATATTCTCCTCTCTTTCTCACCCCTTTCGCCCTGCAAGATGTCATAAGAATGTGATCGTGACCTACTGATAGTTCATCTTAATTCATGTTTCTTTTCCTTTCCCATACTCATTTCTTACTCGACTAACCATTGTTTTTCCCCTGACGAATCCGTTGCCGAGGACTGGAGGGAAAAATCCAGGAGATTTGTTTGGAACTGGACGGACTCCCCGATCGTCCGGCGTTACCAATCCGTAACAGCAGATCGGACGGATTCAGGTTAGACTAACCCCAAACCAGCACGGCATTTTACCGAGGCCGCCCTGAGAAAGAGAAGATAATCTCCAAAGCCGGGATTTAGACGAATATCGGATACTACGCCGGAGTGTTACTCTGCTGGGTGTTTCCGATTGTCTTAATAGTTGGTATTATTATGATGGGGGATAATGATGACGAGAGATGCAATATACTCGCTACTCTGTATGCCCGGCAATTCCTCCGTGATAGTCATATGAAAATGAAAATAAAGGTAATACATCCAATCTATCTACTTCTGCCCGGTTCTTGGCAGATTCATGACATTTGTACCGGGTGGGTGGGATGGACAAATGCGGTGTTACTACCTGCTGCCCGTCCACGGTAATATCCAGACTGGAGGATGGCTGCATCGCCAACCAGTCACTACCACTCGATATCCATTCATTCCTTCCCCCCTTCCGCCGAAAGTCATGATGACAACAACCATGGACACTTCCCCCCTGCTCTCTCTTGACCGCCTCTTGCTTCCCACCCGCACCGGGCATTCCTTCGATCGAGGATCTTCCGTATCTTTTCCCCTCCATACCGCCCATCGATGATTCATTCATCCCCGCGGCATGCACAGGGCGGCCCAGAGTCAACCTTGTATCATCCTTTTCCAACTCTCAACCCTGAGGCAAACAAGTATGCATCCCGGTCTAGTGGCAATAAGACTTGGAACACGGTATCATCATCGAAAATGGATTAATGCCCGCATCTGATAACTTTCCCTTTTGAGCCATCTCCATTGTTCTTCCCCCCCACTACTCCTCACGATGTACACAGCTGTCCCCATTATTCTCCCCTTCTCCAAACCCACCAACTGCCAATATCACTCACTCTGCTGTAAGCACGGGAGTCTACCGTGCAAGGTACCACAATTAATCATGAATGAGGGTCCGCTTCTCCATTACAAAAAGCGGACACCTAACGCGGACTCCAACCGCCATCGGATAGACTACTTTGTAATAGTGGCAGCTGAAAGAGAGACAGACACAGACAGAGAGAGACACGCCTCTGAGCGACGGCTACAGACCACGGAACGCTCGACCGGTGAATCTCCCATCAAATCAAAATAGGGTGGCTTCTCATTGGCAAGCGGACTCCACCCGAGGTAAAGACCCACTGGCCGCCTTGACCGCGATGACTTGCTCTCTTAGGAAGAGTTCACGAGACCAACTGCTAGTACTACTGTGTACATGGGTGTTCCCTTCCCAAAGCCTCGGAAGTAGTAATGGTCTATCTGATTTCCCATGATCACGGGAAGGGGAGTCAGTGTGCAGTTACTACTTACTACACTACTACTATTTACATATCCACACGTGCATCCACTGCTATCCCCATCCCCTTGCAAGCAAGACTCCATCAAGTCCAACGTCTTTCTGGCGGTGACAGACCGACCGTTGTGTCCGACTGCTCTCCCGTGCCAATCAATCCGATCGGATAAGAAACAGGGTGGTGAAGGGGAGATGAGATGGAACGGAAAGCATGGACTGGGTTTGGGTTGGATTGGATGGATGGCTGCTCAGAATGGGGCCTTTGCACCGGTGGGAGTGGGAACCAATTAGCTGGAGAACCGCTTTTCCCAAAGTCGGTGGATCCCTTGAACCTCGCCTCCGGATTGGAGTCCTCCTGCAGCTCGTTATCGCTGTACTATGATTGGCTAAAATGGTCTTGCCACGTTGCCATTGGTCAGTGCCCCTCCAGGCCAGCACGGACAGTCCCCGAACCAGTCGCCTCTCCAGGGCGTCTCTCCTACTGTGCACTATAACTTTCATGACTTGGTGTCTTTGTCGGGCAAACTGCCTCGAGCAGATTATGTAACAGATACAACAAACCGCGTCGCGTGTAGACACCTTCGGTACCGCTTCGGGTTAGCGCTTCCGGTGCACCTCGGCCGTTGAGCCTTTGACTTGCCGCTGTCGACTTTCTTTCGGCTTCCCCTGCGCCCGTGGTGGATGCGCCTGACTATTGAAACCGTGATGATTGGACTGGCCTCGTGGATTTGGGCCTGTC